ATACTCTTGCAGCGTAGGGTGTCGCTCAGTCGTCACCAAGCGCCCCTTGAGGCAATACTCCTCTCAACTTTCATGACTAGCTTGCTATATCATCAAAAATGCAAGCCCTTGACCAGTTTTTGTTTTTGCTTTTGCTTTTTTCTCTTTCTAGCCGGTGGTGGCATACTCGGGCCATCCCACACAGTCATCATGCATGTCAGACATGAGTCCCTCGCCAGCTGATTCATAAGTGACTCACCCAGTGAAACGGTGGTCATTATGCAGCTGCACGAACACTTCTTAAAAGTATGAGAAGCATTTCTGTGTGACCTTTTAGCAGGCTTGGTTTTAACGCCGTAAAAACTGATCGTATTTACGTTTTTATGTGAAAAAATGCGTAAAAATACGTAACTATAACGTAAAAACTGCCCGATGTGCACATCGTGTGCACATGCACGTGCATGAGGACAGCACATACAGACTTATGGAGTCCGGAGAGTGGCAGCCAGACGCCCTGGAAGGGTCAGAAAACGAGTTTTTGTTACATGCCATTAACGTCCTTGCCAAGTGCGAGGTGGACATTGTGTTGAGGGTGCTGGAGATGGTGCAGCACTGATCATTGTACGCAACTTTCATTGTGTAACATGGGTGTTCCAAGTGGCCGCAAAAACGTAAAAATAGCCGCAGAAATAGATCCTTTTGCAAATTTACGTTTTTACGCGTAATAACATAAAGTAAAAACGTAAATGGAAACGTAAACGTAAACGTAAAAACCAAGCCTGCCTTTGAGCGTTTTTCAATATCTCCATGTCATTCCTTTCCTCTTGATCCCCAGAAATGGGCTGGCCATGCTTGCTCACTACTAACCAATACTGTGCGGATACTTCAGCGTGCTTTTCGCTTTTCTGCATCGCTGGGCGGCTGTCCATGTAAAGCTGACTGCAGTCAACCAGCTGGTCTACGGTGTGGTGACACCCAGTGAGTCGCCTTTTGTTGGTCATGAGCCCGTCATTGGGTGACTTGGCCCAATTTCTAACGGCAAATTCAACATTTTCACGTGCAAAAAAGCAAATTTGCAAAGGGGCTATTCTTACTGTTGTGTTCACGTTTTTAAGGCCCGTTGTTACACCCAGGTTACACGATCAAAGTCACGTACAATGGTCAGTCCTCCGCCCCTCGAGCACTCGCAACACAGCGTCGCACTTGGCAAGGGCCAGGACAATGTGGAACAAAGTTTGTTTTCTGCCCATTCCAGCGCATCTAGCTGCCGCAGCTCCCCGGACTACCGAAGGCTGTATGTACTGTCCTTGTGTACCAGGGGCTGTATTTACATTGTGGTTACGTATCGTCACGCGGTTTCACGAGTAAAAACGTAAACACGATCAGTTTTTACGGCGTACACAGCAAGGCTGCATCCGGGCTTTCACAAGACCGAGGTCCGGAAGTTTCCTAGAAACTGCCGATGACGCGATGACAGTACAGTCAACATAATCTCCTCCCACCCCCTCCGCTTCACACTCCCCAGGCCTCTCGCCATCCCCCCTGCCCACACCGACCCCACAGGCGCCACACACAGGCGCAGAGACCTCGCCCCGCCCCCCTCCCCTCCCCCGGGCCCCACCCCCTTTTGCTGACGCCAGATCGGCCCCGCATCCTTTTTCGACGCGATCCCTCCCCACCACCCTTCTCGCCACTTCGGCCGGCGGGCGATCCGCAGATGGGGCCGCCGCGCGCGGCCTCAGGGCGGGAAGGGCTGGCGGCATTCGACACGGAGGACCAGCAGCTCGAGCGCCTGATCGATGGGATGCACGGCGGCGAGGTTGAACCGCCGGAGGCGGAGGCGCCTGGGCCGGACCGGTGAGTTTTGCACGAAGCGACGCACGGGGAGAAACTGGGGAGTGTAAGATTTGAAGTTACAGAGGGAAGAGACAGGTCGCACAAAGGGGCCCCCCTCCTCCTGAGAAAATGTTTTCGAGTCTCTTGTTCGCACTGTGAAAGATGATGTGGTGTCTCAAGGGGGGAGGGGGGGGGGGAGCCGCGAGGGAGCGGGCTGGAATTGGGCGATCTGGGAGAGAATGGTTGGAAGGATGCCTGTCGTGTGCTGGGCGGTTGGATCCATGGCAGCAAATTGGCAGGATTGTGTTGGGTGCTGTGGGAGATGGTCCGCGGGCGATTGTGCGTGAGCCGTCGCAAGGTGGGGCGGGGGCCACACAACACCGCAGGCGAACCCGGTCGCCGGGGGGTGGCAAGAGCGGAAGTTGGAGGGGGTTGGGGGGTGGGGAGGGGAAAGGGGCGTCTTCCGCACGACTGGCGAGCAAGATTGGCCCATTGGTTGTGGGTGCGAGGAAAGGCCTGGCGGGCCCCGGGGAGGGCGATTTGCACCACTGGGGCGCTGAGGTCGTTTTCCAGTCGGTACAGAAAACGAACAACGCAGCGCCCCGCGCCACCAAATTCAATGCAACACGGGCCATTTGTGCCAGCTAGTTGTCGCCGGGGCACACCCCGGGCGGCCGGTTGTCCAGTCATGACGTTGTTCGCGTGACTGCTCTTTCGCGTTCTGTGCAAGCGTTCTCACGTTGCTTCAAAAGTCTGCAAACAATCGCCGGCACGCTTGCCGCACAGCGAAGCACATACTGGGGCACCTGCAGGCTTCCGCACAGCGTTCATTGGGCTCCACATGCACTTGCAGTGTGGCCGGCACACGCTATATGTACACCCCACACACCACCACCACACGTGGAGACGTGATCAAACGCCCTTAGTCCCTGCTGAAGTTCCATCGGCCACTTGTCACCAGCCCCTCTAACCTTCAGCTGTCTTTTGTTGCACCAAATCCAGTGCACGCACACACAGAAGCGTGGTTTCCAGACCGCTGGCTGGTCAATGGTTAACAAGTCACTTTTTGCACTCAGATTGCACTCTCAACACCCGTCTACGATAGTGTGCTCCTCTCAATGCTATTGCTATCAACCTACGCGTCACTTATGCTCTCGCTGAACACTGTTGTCGCTGTGCCCACTCACCTACCCCTCTGGGGACCTCTGCATACCCATGCGGTGGGACACTGCAACCCTACAGCTGGAGAGGGGCTGCCAATCGTATGACATCGTTCTGCTCGTTCCGCCTCCAGTCCTGTTCTGCCCTGATGCAGTTCATGCCTCCCCTGCAGTGTGAAGCAGCGAGCCTGGAGGTCGGGGGCAGGCTGCGTCCTGCTCTCCGCCTCTGCCTACGCCTTTGGCGCCCTCTTTGCCAAAGTCCTTGGGTCAGAGATCCCCATGCTCGAAGTGACTGCCCTCCAGGCTGCCATCGCCCTCATCGCCACCCTGGGTCTGGCCTACGCCTGTGATGTTTCCCCCATCTGGGGTCCGAGGGCCAAGATGCCCCTCCTGGCCCTGCGCGGCCTTGTGGGTGCTGGCGTGTTCGTTTTGGCTTACGTGGGGATCGTGATACTGCCGCTGGGCGACGCCCTGGCCACATTCTACACCAACCCCGCGTTCACGGCCCTGTTCACCTGGCTGCAGGGTATGGAGCGGCTCAACTGGCAAAAGGGAGTGGGCGTTGCTGCCTGCATGGCTGGCACCGCCCTGGTGGCCCAACCCCCCTTCCTTTTTGGGGGAAGAGTCAAGTGGGATACACACAGGGTCCTGGGCATCTGCGGCAGCCTCAGTGCGTCGATCGGCGTGAGCATTGGCCTCCTGCTCATCGTGAAGATCGGCAAGGACGTGTCGCCACTGACCGTGACCGTTTGGTTCCACGCTGCCACCTTCTGCGTGGCCATCGTCCCCACCCTTGTGGGGTACCCCCAGCCCGCAGTGGCGACTTTCTCGGCGGTGGAGGGCTTGCTGGTGGTCGGGATCGCTGGGAGCATGATCGCTGGGCAGCTGCTGTTGACGAGGGGCGTGCAGCTGTCCGGTGCGACGCAGGCCGCAGTCATAAGAGTCAGCGAGCTTGTCTTCGGGTATGCCTTTGGGGCGCTGTTCCTTGACGAGGTGCCCACGCTGGTGGGGTCGCTGGGGGCGGTGTGCATCATGGCGGGCGTGGTCTTGGTGACAAGGTCCAAGATGGACTGAGGGGGGGCCATGCAATGACCCCCCTTGGCCCCTAACGTCTGGACATCAGGCCAGGCCCTGGACAGTAGGGGGACACGAGGGATGGGGGGCGGCACGAGGATGTTTTGGTGCTCCAGAAGGGAGGGCGAACTGGGGGGATTGGAATTTGGGATCAGCTTGCAAAGACAAGCGAGGAACGGTCGCTTGGGATTCATCATTCTTTTACTCTGACAAGCACAGGTGGACACATCTGGATGCATTTGCTACGGGCTTATGCATGGGAGTGGAAATGTCGTCAGTAAAAGGCTGCCGATCTCGAAATGGTGCACACATAGGGAGTGTGTAGAATTGCACCTGTTCATTTGTACACCAAATTTATTGATTTAGGGCTGGCAATAAAATAGGACCAAGTTGATGGTGCGGCACGTTGCACGAACGTTTGTTGTAAGAAACCGATTCAACTATCAAATAGATTCATTGATAGCGGCAAGCAGGACCTGCCAAAAGACCCCACAACATCTGGAACCAAATTGTTGTCGACACACGCACCAACTCACACGAAGGGCAGGCCTTGAAGCTGCGTGCCGTGAGTGAGACGAGCCCATCGCCTTGATGGCAAAAAAAAACACATCGCCCAATCAAAATCTTGTCCCAGCTTCTCCGTTACTCAACTTGGCACGGGCTGCCTCCTTTTAGCCAGCAACACCCCAAACCTGTGACGCCCGCCCTCGCAATGACCTGTCCGCCTCTACAGCACCACTCGTTACCTCCACAGCACCATGCTCGCCTCCTCGCTGCCGCAGATGCTTCCCCAACGCAGTACGGCCGTCCAAACTGCCTGCCCAGGTGGGCGCGGGGTGGGGGAGCCGACCACTGCAACGGTGGGTCACGGCGCATAGCTACATCGCCCTGGTGTCCTTAACACACTTTGACCTAGTGTCCTGAACATTCCTTAACTTAGCGTCCTTACAATCACGCCACTGGCCTCTTGACAATGGTGACGTCCCCGTCCTCGTCCACCAGCGCCTGGAGCGCCTGGGCCCCCTGGCTGGGCGCCCACGACAAGTCAAGCACCTTCAGCCGCGCCAGCTTCACCAGCACCTTGAGGCCCATGTCCGATATGTGGCCGCACCAGCACAGGTCAAGCTTGCGCATCCGCGTCATGTTGCCCAGGTTCCACAGCCCGGCGTTGGTGATGTTCTTGCACAGGGTGAGGTCCAGCTCCGTGATCCGCGTCAGGCGGCCAAGGTCCTTCAGGCCCGCATCCGTAATGTTGCTGCAGCACAGTAGCTTGAGCGTCTTGAGGGACACAAGCTTGCCGAGGTGCTCCAGCCCAACGTCAGTGATGCTGGTGCAGCAGGACAGGTCCAGGGAGGTGAGCCCCCTGAGGGCCCGCAGGCTGGCTAGGCCGCTGTCCTCGATGCGACGGCAGTCGGAGAGGGTGAGGGTGGCGATGCCAGGGCACATGGACATGTGCCGCAGGGCCATGCTGCCAAAGCCGCGGAAGGACGGCAGCTCGAGCTGGGTGAGGGAGCGCAGCGAGCTCCATTCCTCCAGGCCGGAGCCCGAGGGCCGGTGCGCGACGCTTAGCCGGACCTGCACAAAGGGAAGAATGCATCTGTCTGCAGCATGGAGATCTGCGTGTAGACAGCGTGGCAAACATGCAAACTCCAATTTCAAGGGGGGATGTGGCAATTGGGCAGCATAAGGGGTAGGAACACAGAATTAGTGATGGCATCGGATGCCCTGCATCGTCTGACAGATGGCTGGGGAGCTGCATACGTGGCTCAAAATTGTTGTTGTTGTTTCTAATCGGATTCCTGGTATTCTCAAGAATGGGAAATGGCATGCCTCTGTCCTGAGCATGCACTATAACTGCACAGTGTGGCTAATGTGCTTGCCCAACTCAGCTATGCATATAAAACCATGAATCAATTCGACGAGCGAATTCTGCCTTGCACCCTTGCCAGCCTAACTGGGTGAGCCATCTTAACAACACGTTCTGGTTGCCAAGACAGCTGCCTACCTGCCCGAGAGACTTCCTTGCCAAACACAGATCCGGATGCACAGCATCAACAAGCCAACAGACGCCATCAAAGCCACAACACTGCACGCACCTGCGTCAGTGAGGCGAGTTTCCCCAGGTGGCGCAGCCCCTCGTCGGTGATCCGCTCGCAGCGCGCCATGCTCAGCCGTGTCAACCGCTGCAGGCCCCCCCACGACTCAAGGGTGGCATCGCTGACGCTCACGCACTCACACAGCACCAGGCTTGCAAGGTTGGTGAGCCTGCCCAGGTGCATGAGCCCCTCCTCCGTCACCTTCTGCTTGCACAGCCTCACACTGAGATCTGTCAACTCAGCCAGCCGCCCCACGCACTCAAGCCCAGCATCGGTCATCTGGGAGCAGCTGCTCATGTCCAGGGCCCGCAGGGTGGCCTGGATGCGCTCCAGGGCAGGCAGGCCGCCATCCCCGGGCCCCTGGGCCCGCCGCAGCTTCAGGCAGCGTACCCGAGTGAAGGTGCGTGCGATGCGGTCCACCACCACGTCCAGGGACACCACATTGGTCGGCTCCACGGAGGTGATGGCCTTCTCGGCCCACCTGTGCCCAGCGCCAGTCGTCTGATTGCTAGAATGACAATTGCAGAAGGTGTGGCAGCAAGAAATGCAATATAAAGCGACATCAAACGTGTTCAGAAAATTGCAGCATTTGGTGCTGTTCGGTTCAGCCCAGCCAGCAGCAGCCCACCTGCACTCAGCGGCAGTGATTCAAATGTTAAATTAACAAAGGCAGAAGGTGAGAGCAAGTGAAACCTAAATTGTTCAACAATTCTCAGTGTTCAGGAAGCTAAAGTGCTCAGCGCTGTTCAGCTCACTCCGGCTTGGGGTGGCCCACCTGCACCAGTGTCGGTTGACGAGCCGTGCATGCTTGGTCATCTGCCATGCTCGCCCCTCACTGGCGTCCAGTATCTGTTTGATTCTGTCGAGCAGGTCCGCAGGCATCGTGGCCCAATCACCAGGGAGGTCAGCTGCATCCTGGAACACAGAGAGCAGAGAGCATCCTTTGGTTGCATTGTTAGAAGTGACAAAGGGCCCTTGCCCCAGCAAGTGGTTTGCAGCAAATGTCTGCATGCAGAGAACCAAGGTCTGCTGGAGGCCGCTGCATTTTTGCTGCAAGGGTTGGCTAGAGTTCACACCACACCAGCGCCATCTATCTGCTGAGAAGGCCAGCAAAGCCATTTCCCAGCTGCACTTTCCAGAGGCGAAAAGTGGTGTGAACCATTGCAATGGACGGCCATGGCCAACAGGTCTCTGAGGCTGGCTTGACCAGGTCAAATTTGTGCGCAGGCGAGGGGCCAGTGGAACAGCCCCAAGTGAGGCAACGAGGAAACACAGTTTTAAGGCACCGAGGGAAAACCCCTTGGTGTAGGCCCAGGTAAAGTTCATCAACCGTCACATTCACGCCAGATGCATACAAGGACAATCTGCCAATTGCTGTCATTCTGTGGACAGGGCACGCACAAGGTGCAAATGCTGAGCCCTGCACATATTCAGGATAAGAGGGTGTACAAACGACGTCTGGCCTGTGGTTCAAGACGGAACGCAGGAGGGTGGCCCCAGGGCGAGGGCAGGATGGAAGAACAAACCTCAGCCATTGCTGCCTGTCGGGTGACTCGACGATGAGTTGGCGACCTGCCGCCCAGTCTCTGGGACACAATCATGCAACGAAAGTTAGGATGGTACTGGTTGAAAACTGGCTTCCCAGCAAAGGGGACAAGCCCATCCCGTCCACCTATGAAAAGAGACAGGACACGGGAAGGGGATGTTTGATTGGTGCTGGGAACATTCTCAGGTCCACATCCTCGCTTGCTGCAAACATGTTTCCAGAGTTTCGCATCACATGATGTGGGATCTTATGTACCGCCGCGAAGGTACCATGGCGGAATACCCATTTCCTGGCAGTCATCCTCTTCCGGAACTTTTGTAGGGCGACAGGCCCCAGGAGTGGAAACTGCACCGCCACACACGGTGGCCCGCTGCATACCCCCAGCGCGGGAGGGACTTACACAACGTGCAGCCGAAATCCCACGCAGACAATTCCCTAGCGTCTGCATCTCGCGGGCTGCGAGCAGCGCAATCCGGCGCACCAGCCCCTCTCACACAAGATCGCCTCCATTTTGGGATATGCATCTCTTTCCAAAGACCCAACGACAGGGGCGCTGGAAATAGAATCTGGACACATTCCAGCCGTGCCCGGGGCCGTCCCCGGTCCGCCGCCCGCCATCGCTGCGGTTTGCGTCGAGTCGCTCAATTATCCTACTCCGGCCCGAAGGGCCCGCGACACGTCTGAACCACCGCGACCATCTGACCCCGGTCAACGGCGGTGGCAGCCACGATGCTTCATAACCCCTCCTAGCATCCATCTCGCTCGGACGGATCGCCCAGCCGGGCTTGCCCACCCCAGGAAGGTGGCCACCGCGGTTCTGGCACCATTTTTGTTGCGTCGATCGCGAGCGCCAAAGGCGAGAGGCAGGGAACAGGAACATCACCGCGACAAAAGGCCTGGGGATGTGCAGAGATCGAGGCGGGGGGGACAGCGGCGGGGCCAAGATTGTGGAGATCGGGGAGCGGGGAGCATCCGTTTGTGTCTGTCATGGCGGGGTGGGATGCAACGAAGTGGCGCGAGGGCTTCCGATCAGAATGGTGCAAGAGCGCGCTTGAGCGCGCCCTTCCGCGGAGTTGCGCCCACCTCTCTTCTCTTTTCTCCTCGCGGCGCAGGGGCTGCGAAAATGCGCGGCGCGGCCCACAGCAGCGGGGTGAAGGCGGAGATGGGTTTTCTGAGTGGAGGGCTGAGTGCAAAGCAAAGCATGCAGGCATATGCATCAACGGTGCACTGCGGTGTGTGACGCCACAGTGTACTGGCGTGCAAGTACCCACCCACCCTTTTTTTTGCGTTTTGTTTTTGCGTTTTTGCGTTTGTCGTGCAAGTACCCCCCCACCCCTTCTTCCACTTCTCAGACCGAACCCCGCAGATACGGTGTATCGTGTACGACTGTGTCATGTGCGTGCGTATCGTACACCGAAAGAGAAGGACCTGATGAATGAGGCCCATGTGGCGCATGCGGCAGTCACAGAGGAAATGGCACACGCAGGTCACGACCGCAGAATTGCTTTCCAAAGGAAAGCCTAGAAAGTAAGCCTGCGACATTCTCGAAACGCTTGTCTTGTGGTTGGGTTGTTGACCTCTGGCACCATGGACGATGCTCGGTGCTTCCAACAGTCAAGTTAGGCATGTGATGGAAGCGGCGCACGCGCACAAAGAAAGGCCTTTGAGACGAGCATGTCGCTTCCCCTACGGCACTCTTGCCAGTAGTCTCCAATAGCGGGCAATGTTTCCAAGCCTGGCTTGATGTGGTCACTCCGGGAACAAACATCCAAGGTGCAAACACCGCCTCTCACTGCCCCACATGTGCTCGGAACCAGCCCATGAGCTGTTGGCGCGTGCAGTGCAGGCAAACGGGAGGCAAAACGAAATCAATGCAGGACTGGCGAGCGCGAGCTGAGCACTCGCACGCACCCACCGCCGAATCAGCCTTCGCTGCTCCAAGGCGTCCAGTCAGTCGAGCCGCGTGGTTTTTGGCGGCTGTACACGACATACTGCCATGCTGGACATCGTCTGAGAGGTGCAAAGATGCAAATTCACCCTCAACTCGCAAGCAAAACCGGCTTGGATTCACACACGCTGCAGCTGAACATTTGAATGGTGTGGTGCTTTGACATGATGGGCCCTCGGCGTTGAGGAAGGCACCTACTCGGCACTCCCAACTCTGGCCGCTGTTCCCACCAGAATGGCCGTCACAGGACCACTCCGGACACGTTCGGGGCGCTGAGAAGCCCGGTACAGTACCCGAAGCAGCCTCGCAGCTACAGGGGCCCTCAACGCATTGCATTGCTGGCAACAACTCGGCGCCCACATCCGCGACCGACGTGACTCTGACTGTTGGCCTTGCCACGCCATCCTAGGTCACTAGTTTATGAACTAGCGCTAGCTTGTAGCTAAGCTAAACTATTATCCAAACCAAAGCCAACTAACCTCGTACTGGATTGGCAATCCAACCAAACTAATGAATCTGGATCCAGCTAAACTAGTACTATTTACTAGTGCGCAGGCCTTGGCACGTGACGCCGGCAAATGACGTCACCTGTCCTGCATCTGGTCTGCAAAGTCCCGATGCATCTGCGCGATCGTCGCCACCAGCTGATCCTCAATGTGCTCCTCCCGGGGAGCTCTGTCTATCCTGTGGGCCTTGGGGCCCGCACCGTCCTGTCCCTTTGTGACGACCACTACGGTGTCCTTCCTTGTGTCGAGCACATTGGCCACCACGGCATGGACATCGTACCTGCGTTGGGGCGAGCAGCGTGAGCGGGAAGTCCAATACAATGCAACAATGGAAACAAGAAACACAAAAACAGCGAATATAAAGAATTGGCACAAGAACGCAACGCAACAGTACGGAAATGTAAAAACGTACCAATGCAGCTGCACTACCGCTGCCAATGCTCCGTCCAACCGCATTGATGCCACACTGTGCTGTGCGCGCAACGTGAAATTATGGGACACTGGTGGCGGTATGAGACTCTCCCGCCCTCAGAAGACCACAAGGGTATCCGACACCCTTCATTTCCAGATATAAAGGTCATGAAGGGGCCATGAACGTCATGAAGGGCATGAGAACACTGAAAACCTAAAACCTAACCAAAATATGTAAAAGAACACTGAAAACCTAAAACCTAACCAAAATATGTAAAAGATACGAAAATGGCCTTCATGTTTGGAAATGAAGGGAACTGGACATTTGTGACGACCCCACAGCATCAGCCTGCACATTCTTGCGAGCTGGCGCAGGGTCCATATCCCCTCCATCGGAACGGGACCCAACCCTGACCCCAAAACGCCATGCAACACTCTGCAGCAACAGAGTGCTTGGAAATGCAGAGGGCTTCAGTCTGCAGGACAGAACTCTGCATCAAAAGTGCTCTGGAACAAGAAAAATTTCCACACACAGGACAAAACTATGTGACAGTCTGTCACTGACAGAAAAGCGCCCTGGAATGCAAAAGCCTTCAGCCCGCCCGCCAAAGCCCGCAGGCCGCACCTGTCCAATGCCGCCCCCGCCTTGGCCATCAGCAGGCCCTCGTCCGTCTCCAGCTTGAAGCTAACGACGAAGGCGCCAGGAGCCCAGCTGGCCCGCAGCACGCCCAGCGCCTTGGGCACCGCCTCCAGCTCCAACCGCAGCCCCTCCCTGCCCCCCAAGCTCTGGATCTTGTGCTCATCCAGCCTCCCCCATGGGATGTAGAAATCGCTCACCGCGGCCGCAAGGTAGAACATAGCCTGGGGTCCGTAGGGGGCCACAGCATCTGCGATGGCTTTAAGGTACGTGAGGTAGTCGAAGACCGTGGTGAAGGGGAGGGTCAGGAGGGCGCCCGCGCGCCGCGCACCCTCCGACTTGGCAAGGAGGGGGCCCAGGTCAGGTTGGCGTGAGGGGCGCACCTGGACAGAGCCGTCTGGGGCGAGGGTGCGTTTCAACACACTGGCAGAGAACGGCACCGGATAAGATCAATGATACTACAACAGTGCATTAAAAGTCTCTGACATACAGTATCACACAAAAGTTGCTGACATAGTTCATGTGCTGTTGTTAGGTTGGCGTGCAACACACGAAGTGGCCCATTTTCTGGCAGCTTGCACCATTGATACACGATTCTTGGCAGTTCAACAGGTTTAGGAATTTTGGGCTGAACTAAACATGGCATTAACTGATTAAAATGGCCACTTGTGGGCCAGTGACAGTTGCCCTTGCAGGGTGAGAGGTGAGCTTGTGACACGAAGGTGATGACAAACAAGTTTAAAGGTGAAACACCCTTGAAGGTCCTGAAAGGCCTCATTAAGGCTGGGGGATGCAGGGATTCCTTCACAGCTTCCTGCAAGAGGGACAGGCCAGTTACGATTCTCTGTTGCTTCTCCTCTTCTCTCTATCTCTTTTTCCTTGTCTTTGGGGGCAGAATGTTGTGCGCTTGCTTCGCTTTGTTGATGCGGGAGCTGGCACGTTGTTTGTGGCGAGGTGCTGGCAGAAGGTCAGCAAATGGATGCTGTCTACTCATCAATGTCCAGTCCAGGCGAGTGCCATGATCAGTGCGTCAATGCAAGCGACTCAAAATCCAAGTGCTCAGTGCTGAGGCTTGTGCCGAATTCGCCCAGATGAGTGTTCAAACAGTTTGCATCAATCACTTACTTGCTATAATACTAATGCTTGTCTATTTGTTTCAGTGTTTTGCTCATAACCTTTCGTTTTTCTTTTCCGAAGGGAAAGCGCACAAGCGGCTGGAAGGGAAGCAAACACCATGGCCAGTTGCAAGTGTTTGTTTTGTGGTGAGGATTCCCTCCCATCAGGGGCACATCCCCTCCCAAAGCCCAACTCCATTTTTCATCGGCAACTTCAACCCTTTGTTCCCTTTGGAACAAACAATCTTTACCCAAATGCCAATGCTGAACTGAGCAGAGCTGATGGAACAGCCGAGCAACAAACAATCGGCGCCTGTGAAAACACGCAGTGTGAGTGACCTACGGTTGAATGGCTGTCCTCGCCACGCGCTCGCAGTTCATGGAGCAACATGACGCTGGGAACTGTGTGAATCCAACCTGGATCCTGGGTTCCGTTCCTGCAACTATGTGCGGTGTTGCCCAACCAGCACACAACTGAAACTGACGCCACCTTTCCCGATTGCAAGCGGAGCTGACGACTACCTCCTTCCCTCAAAGCGCAAACGCAGCGTGATCGAATGACATACGCACAACGGACTTCCACCTCTTTGGCCAGCTCACGGGTGCAAGACTGGGCTGTCATCTCTCTGGGAAAAAGAGATCGGCGGCGCAACCTCCAGCAAGCAAGGGAGCCATGCGCGCGTCCCTTGCCATTCGCCCACCCCGTCTATCGGCCAAGTCACCCAGAAAACAAACGAGAAAATGCAGAGAAAAAGCAGAGAGGCATCAAGGAAAAGACGAAAATAAGCGATTGCAACCGAGCCGAGCGCCGTCCCACCTGCAGCCAACTCCAGCAGGCCTGGCAGCGCTTCCGCGGGCTCCATCCCGCCCGAGAACGGCTGCGCCGATCCCGCCCGCGTCAGGAACACCACCGCGTAGCCCGCCGCAAGAAGTCGCTCCGCGGACAGCGCGCCGCGCCGCCCCTCGCTGAAGTTGTCGATGAATCGCACGCAGCGCCGCTCCAGCGGCACCGTGGTGCCGCCCGACGTGACGACCGCCAGGGGCCGGGAGAGCCGATTCGAGGCCGACCCGGGATCGCCATGATCGGCGGCATCGGCGGGGGACCGGTGCTTGGCGAGGAAGGCGGCCAGGGAGGCGGGCAGAGAGGGCGGGCAGGGGGGGCAGTCGGCGAGGAAGGCCTCCAGGGACATTCCAAGCGAGGATCAGAGCGATTGACGCCGGTAGAGGGGGGGGGGAAGAGAGATTGACCTGGGGCGACGCGCGTCTGGCGGGGCGAGATTTAACGCCCCGGGACGCCCGCGGCTGTCTCGCGGGCAGGTGTCCAGGGACACGCTGCTGTGGTTGCTTCCCGCTCCCCGCCTGTGGACCGCGCACGGCGCGGACTCGAGGAAACGCTGAACTACACCGAGAAAAAAAGTCCGATTAATGGGGAACAAAAACTGCTTCGGGCGACTATAACGCAATGTTGATGTTGGAGAAGGTGCTCGCGCTCGTCGGTCCCAAGGGCCCGTCGACCTTCCGGCTGTGGTACTTTCTTCCCACGCCCTCAGACGCGGCCACCGGCCCCAACTTCCCCGCCCTCCTGCTCCCTCTCCTCGCCGCCCTCCCGTTGTCACTGCCCGCCCTCCTGCCCTGCCCTAAGCGGCGCCCACCGGGAGGGATTGCGCGCCATGTGCGCGGCGGCGTCGCCCAAGAGCGGCTCCCTGGTGGAGAGGTTCAAGGAGCTGATCATTGCGGGCATGGACCCTCAGGAGCCGGAGCAGCGCGGGGATCGCCGCGGCAAGGCCGACCAGTGAGGGTCCGGGAGCATTGGCAGACGGGGGTGGGATTTGAATGGAAGGAAGGGAGGGCGCGTGGCGTGTTCTATCTCGTTGTGATTCAATCGGCGTGGGAAGCGATTTGGCTGCAACAGGACCAGCGCTGTGACCACGGCGAGGGCACTTCGCGTGTCTAGCAGCGGGCTTGTGGAAAGCGCAGGATTTAAACACAACTTCCTCAAGGCATGAGCGTCGGCAATTGGCGATTGGCGCCCGGTTTGTCGGTTGCGGGATCGTGTTTGCCGGGATGTTCGTCCGGAGTTGATATGATGCGGCATTCGGAGGGGCAGCAGCGAGGGGGCGGGTGGGCGGGGCGAGGGAGCCGCGGAGGTTGGGCGACTTTTCGGCGCGGATCTCGGGATGGCGATGGATAGCCCCGCGGTGGGCACGGCCGACGGCGCGGTGGGAATTGCGGGAGAATCTGAGATTGGTTGATCGCTGCCGGCTGAATGCGGCTCGGCGCGACGCGGAGATTTTCCGTCTCGGGCCTCGGTGCGTCCGTCGTTGAGAGTCCCGGGAGTCGCCGGCCCGCCTTTAGGGGGTCGGACCACAGCAACGCGGCGCAGCGTGGCACAGTTTTCCTTGTTCTGATTTTTTGCTTGTTCTGGCGCGCGGGGGGTGATTGACGACGGAAGATTTTGCGACCGAGGGAGGCAATCGGGCCGGGCGGCCCGCGGGGCGCGGGCGCATCGCGACCGCCCCGGCCGCGTGGAAAATGCGTCGCCGCGGACGGGGACCCGAAACTGCTGGCGTGGCCGCGAGCCGCGTTGAAGGCCCGCCGGCCGTCGGATCGCGTCGCGAGGGCGCTGATTCGAGCTCCGCGTGGCCTGTCCAGTTCGCATCGCGGGCGCATTCCTCGTACATATCTCCGCAGCTGTCCGTGGTTGAATCAGTGGAAGGCTGTCACCTGGCAGCCCCCAATCGTCAACCTTGCCCAACCGTGCGTTGCGGGTGCGCGGCCGCTCGCAGAGCTAGGCTGGGGTGCGCCTCGCCACCCTGCGCGAGCTCTGATGCCCACCGGCGCTGAGCGCCTTGCGCTTTGGGTTTTACGAGAAGATGGCGTCCGTGGGCCGGCCAACCCGTTTCTAGGCCCGCCGTGGAGTTAGGGGCACTCGAAATTTCCGGCGCCGCCTTGGGTGCTGTTACGAAGGCAAGTGATCGAGCATCCTGCCGCGCAGCGGGTGCACTTTGGGGTGGAGCTTCAAACGTTCTTCTCCGTGTGAAACGGCACTCTGACTTGTCAGGGCCGGGCACAAGGCGTGATGCTGAGTACCCTGATGTTGTGCCCGTTTTTCCGAAATTGTCAGTTGTGTTCCCGGTGCTCGCCAAACGCTGTGTCTGGCGATCCACGGGCGAGGGCCTCGCTCTAAATTGTGCCTGCCGGGTGTGTGTGTGTGTGTGTGTGTGCACATACCCATGCCCTCAGGATGGTTCACTTGTTCATAGGTTGAGGGGTGGGAAGGGGGAAAAGGCCCCCTTTGCCAGCCATCCCAGTTCTCAAAATCAGAGAGTAAAAGGAAAGTAAGTTGGTTGAAAGAGAGCAACGAATGAATTAATGCATCCTAACACATGTCAGACCAATGCAATGGATGCATCGATAACCCTTATGCGATATGACAACTGGGAGATTGCTGCTAATTGCAATGCACAATGGCCAAGGGAGTGCTTTTGTCGATGCGCGTGATACGTTTAGATTCTTTAGACTTGCTCCATGAAAAGAGGGGGACATACCGGATAACATCCATGCGCTGCACGTTACGAATCCATGGGCATGTTATGGGAACCTGTATTGGCATCAGCTCCATTCCTTGCAGCGAGTTTCCTCTTGAAGTGCCGCCAAAATAGTTCCCTTGCATCTTTGCAAGTCTATGGCAGCTGATTGCTGTACACTATTACATGCTTCCGGATGTTTAGAATGGTCAATGCAGTCGGCACACCTTGATGGCCTTTGTCAAAAACGTGGCAAAGCACAGTCCTTGCAGCCTACAAGGTGATTCCAAGCATAAGGCTGCACTAGGCTTGTCCAGATACACGATCTCTATTAATGCCCAAAATCCAGTGCAAGTCATTGGGAGTCAGTCCAACATCTCTTGTAAATGCACGCTGCATGCAGCCTATTGCACTGACTATGGGCATGCAGACATGTGGTCAGCAGATAAGATTAACGGATTAGATGCAGAATATGTTTTCTGATGTATCTGTCAATTTGCGGGCAAACTCTGTCAATTTGCAAGCAAACTCATACACAGATGTTAGCATCAATTTAATCATCTGACGTGACAAGAAAAAATGGCACCAGACTGTGGGCACCTCCCTCCTGTGCAAACTACGGTTAGACTGTATTTTTTACTATAAAAGGTGATGCGAAAGCTGCCGAAGCAAGGGTGAAAGCTCACAACGAAGCCGCTCTCAGTGCACAATGGGTTGTGCTCTTTTCTTGCAGCATTCAGATGCCTCTGCATCTGTTTGACATTGTTTTATATGGTCTCAGAAAGTCTCCCTCTGCAGGAGACGTGCATCGGTGGACAACTGTCATCGCACATGACTGTGTATGCGATTGGCTTCACAGGAATCGTTGGGCTGCTTATCCACTCAAAAGTTGGACCTGCAGCTACAGTAGCAACAGCTGTGCTTTTGAAGAGGGAATTGAACTTGGACATTATGGTATGTTATCTATACTGTACTGTGTATGTACTGTGTACCATTACACGATGCCCGGAACAGTATGGGACAAGGCACTTGGGGTATGAATTATACCTCACAACACGGTAAAAGCTCCTGACCTTGCACAAGCCTTGTGCAGAACAGAAGGAGTGCGGAATGGAACTGATTTCTGTTTAAAAATGGAAATTTTGGAAAGAAGTTGACAGAATATAACTGCGTTGAGACGATTCACAGCTGCCAATTGCACCAAGTGCAGTTCACTGACCAAAGCCTGTCCTTGCAGCCAACAGCCATCCGAACCCATCGGTTTCACATTCCATGACAATGCGGGCCGCCTGTGCATCCCTGTCATCCTCTTCAACGTGTCCGCAGGCCCCTCCAGCCTTGGTCGCAAGGTCCTGCGCAAGATCATCACAACGCGCCATGAGCTGGCTCATGAATACAATGCGTACCTCTCAGTGCTTGCCATCTCGGATGGACATGGGTCAATCGCGCCTCAAACAAAGATGCCGAGGAACATTGCAGTGCAACAGGTGGGTGGCTTCACTATTTGGGTGGCCATTTCACAAGCGAATGGCTGGAATGGGGCAGGTTGGGGATTGAGTCAGGACAAGTTCACAAAATGAGAATGACTGCAGGGCACTGTGGGAAACTGTTGGACTTTTTACTTCCATAGGATCCATTGGACTGCTTTGGATTTGCTGCAGCATGCCTGCACCAAAAGCCTTAAGACAACTCTATATCGGCACCTCATCCGTACCAGGTACCTCAGTGCGCATGTGCAGAGTGCTGACATCTGACATCTTGACATCTGTCTGATGCCTGGCACCCAGCTTTTGACCAGTGCCATCAAATCGATAGTTGGCTTCCAGCATCCAACACACAGCTTGCAGCTGGCTTGCACCACTTTATCGTGACTTGGGACTAACCCAGCACAAATCGTTTCTGAGCACAGACATCCAGCCTTGCAACAACACAGCACAGATGCAGCCATCAAACTGCTACGCGTCAAACTGCCAAGTCGAACTACTTATCCTTCAGCTAATTTTGACCTTCGTCAAACTGCCAAGTCGAACTACTTATCCTTCAGCTAATTTTGACCTTCGTTTACTGACAGCTGGTAGACACACAGAATGTAAGTTTCAAAGCCCAGCTGTCAGTGGAAATCTGACTTTTTGTCGCTTCAGGGCCTGTCAGACACGGTCCTCAATGAGGTGCTGGAGTGCACAGAGCAGGGAACCTCTATGGCCGGCAACGGCTACAGCTCCATTGATGACGTCATCGAGATGGCTGGTCAGGCAGGGTGTTGTGTGCTAGATGTGGGGGATGCGAAGCCCCACAAACGAGCGAAGGCGTTCCTCTCAGGTGCGCAAGAGGAACACAACCTGTTGTCGGGCAATCGCCAGCAGAACTGATCTGAGTTGAGCCACTGGTGCTCCTTGCGTTGCGTGTGGAGCAGCATTATTTCAAGTCAATGTGTTGTGCTTTTGCACCTGTCTGTGCATCGAAGAGAGCAACACACTGCAGAGGCACATTCATGTCCTTGTCGTTTTGCAGCCCAGAGCTCCGCAACCGTGGCAAAGAAGCGAGCTTTGACATCTCTAGGCAGCTTATGAGCGACCTGACATCTTGCCTTTGTTATGTAGCACTGCCCTTGCTCCTTTTCAGGCGTTGCTGGCCTGTGCCTTAGAAGCAGAAAATCTTGAACATCCTGTGCATCCTGTATGTCCTACTCCTACATGTGGTGGTCACAGGAACCCAAGATCCGATACAGATGCCAACAGTCCATGGTTGTGTGCCACTTCCCTTTAGATCTGCCATCGTTCTCCATGTTGTGGACCAGGGGAATTGTGAAACTGTCTGATAATCTGAGTTCAGCAATGACATGTATCCTGAAGGATGAGTCATTGTACGGCCTCCATAAGGACACATTTGTTGTTCTTGCAGGCTTGCTGAATGCTGGATCGAGGGGCTATTTCGGTGTGGTGATCGCCAATCGGGAAGGCGAGGAGTTGGACAGGCTGAAGGGGGCTTTCACTGAGCTGTTGGTGCTGGAAGAGGAATCGGATGAGTGGGACGTGGTACGGCGCGTGGTGGAGTGGTATCCCACCATCGAGTCGGTGGCAAGAGCAGAGCCACAAAAGACAGATGCCTTGAGGTGTGTGTGCTGTTTCTTGTTTCGCTCTGTGCTGTGGACCCCAATTTGAGAGATGAGGCACCTTCCCAGCTTTTGTTTCTTGCTGTTGCATCAAAATACCCAAGACTAATTCACAATTGAGAGATCGGGTGCCACCCTGTCCCAACAGAAGATGTGCAGGTCAATTGCAGCCTTGTAAGACGACGCAGTGCCAGGCCAGACTGTTGGATTTACTGCTGTCGCTGGTCAAGATGCAGTTGTTTCTGTGGATTACCCCTCTGCTTTTAGAAGAATGGGAGTCGCCAGGTGAATAGACACTCAAAACGTGATTGGAGACCCAAACTAATTGCAGAAATGGAAAGAAGACACCCCTAAAAGCCCTTGAAAGATGCATCTTCAGAATAATTGCTGGCTGTGTCCTGCCTAGAAGGCTTGCAACGCGACCAAAACTACCCCAATTATTATGTCTGAATCACGCAAGGCACGCCAGCCACACTAGCCTGTGCTTCCATCTGTGTAGCTCCACCCCAACCACTGGCCAAAAATAGCACCAAATGAAAGGCCAAAAGCTCCCTAACTTCGTCCCACTTTCAACACAGCGAACACCACTGATATGCGATTTTCAACATTTGAAGACAATGTTGAGCAAAGAGAACTGCGGTTTGTGTTCTGGATCAGGACTTGATTGGTCCGAATGGGTTATTCTTCTGCCAGGGAACCCGTGCCTTCCGAGGGGCAGGTGACGGAGGTCTCAGTGCACAGACCCACCAACACCTCCCCCGATCTCATGGCGGACCTGATGGCGACGGTGGCAAAGGACCCGCCCGGCGTGCTGAGCCGGATAAAGGGCGGCGACGTCCAGACGTGCCTGGCTGCCGCCAACCTCTTCACGTCGCTCAATGGGAATCCGAACGACCTGCTAGAGCAGTACTTTGAGCTTGGGCTGGCAGGAGCACTAATGGAGCAGGCTTCCATGGCTAGGTGGGCTGCAGGGGGCACACCCACATGGATTCCTGTGTGGGGATTGCATCCGCACTGATTGCACACACGTGGGTTGCAACCCGAGTGGGTTGCACGCGCAGCATGTGTTAACAGTGATGGCCTGTGGCCTGTGCGCAGGTCGGAACCCAGAAACAACCAGCTGTGGATGGCGAGCCTGGCGTGTGCGATCGCCTTCGCGAACTTTGACGACAAATTGGGGGAGGACATACAGGATGAGTTGGTCATCGAGGAGGAGCTTAACAGGGTGAGTGAGGCGTGCGCCACAGTGAAATTGCCATTCTTGTTTATCAGTGAGTCAATTAGTTCATGAAGTAATCCAATAGCGGTTAAGGATATATTTGTGAATTGCTTGAAGACAGAAGTAATGACAGATTTAAGAATGGAAGTCAGGGGCTTGAAGGGCAATTCAATTGGAATTGGAGATGGAATTATTGACTGACGGCTGCGTAGATTGTTGTTGATAGATGTGGCAAACAATATGTTTAAATGTGAAGGTGGAAAACAAGGAATGGACAACTGGGTGGATGTTGGATGTGTAGAGAGTAAGGGACATGTCGATAAGCACTGTGTTATTGCTTGATGCGCGTTTTACTTGTTCATGGTATCGCTTTTGTCTATTTCATGCAATGGACCCATCCAATCGAACTGTCTGCCGGAGGCCATATGACCAGGGCGAAACGAGAGACTAAGCAAGTCATTTTGCTTTTGCTTTTCTGACACGTATGATATTGTTTATTTGCGTTGATGTTGATTTTTCCATTCTGCGGAAAGTAAATGAGCACATAACGACCCTGGCCGCGAGTGGCTCCCTTGACTGGGCCCAGCATTGTTATCTGGGTGAATGATGACCATGACGCCTCATAGTGTCGGGGGATCCATGTCGCGCGCCCTTTTTATCGCGTGAATCTCAACCCTCTCGATCCTCTGCTCCTAAAATGAACATTGAGAACATCTAATGAATGCGCGTCGTGTTATGTACTCCATCCATTTTAAGACTTATTGAATGAATATTGCAGTAGATCGTCAAGTGCACATCGAAATAGATATAGATAAGCACATATAAACCAACCCCTGGCTGCATATTCCACATATATTGCATTTAGATGTCACCAATCGCGAGTTCTATTAATGAGTTAACTCCAATAATACCAAGCAATATCTTCTTAATTTACAGAAGAAAACAAGGAGAAATTGAAAATTGATGCTTCAAAGTAAATGAAAAAATGCACCTTTCTGGGTGCAGACCGGAGCCACCGCAGCGCTTTAGTTGGGTCATTCAGCGCGTCGACCTCTGAAGCACGACGCCCCTCCGCCCCCCCCCCCATCTCAAACTAAGACTCCACGTCACCTTTGCGTCACCTCGAACCGAAACCCCACGTCATCATTACGTCTTTCCGAACCAAGACTCCACGCCATCTTTCACGGCATGGAGAAGAGTCCCACACGCACAGCGGCGTTGCCGCTGCCTGCGTTTAGCTATTTTTACGTGTTTTTACGTAATAATGCGTTGCCCTTTTGCACCTGTTTCTCTTTGGAAATGCCTGCAATGAACCTTTGAAAGCGTTTGTTTGAAGCGTGCTTGAAGTGGTATGTTGCAACTAGCCTTGCTTATGCCCTTCCAGGAGCTTCGGATCGCCGCCCAGTCCAGGCACATCCCCGTGCGCAAGGTCGCCCGCAGCGGCATCGCCATGCTGGACAGCAACTACGGCATGTGGCGCCAGTTCTGCGACAACGCCGCCTGCGACAGGGAGGAGACAATGCCGCGGGAGTTCATGTTCTGCCGCGGCTGCAAGTGCGCCGCGTACTGCAGCCGCGAGTGCCAGAAGGCGGACTGGCGGCGGCACAAGGCGGAGTGCGGAAGCTTTGCGAGCCTGTGACCGGGGCCCGGCCCACTGCTCAGAGTTGTCATTTGATTAGAATTGGGTGTTTAGAATTGATTAAATTTGTTCTCTGCTTAGAATGGGCTGTTTAGAATAGTTTGGAAAACACGCTTGCTTAAGAGTTGTTGGCGGAAGACGAAAAGGTCCCCTTGCAGCTTGTGGGCCGGTCTGCACGCGAGAGTTTGAATTTATCAGCGGGGTTTGCGGCGCCGGATGCCGGGAATCGATTCCGGTGGCAGGAGGGGAGCGGCGGCCTTGGCGGGAGGCTGCAGGCGGCGAAGGGCTCAGAAACAGCCAATCCCGTGTTCCATTCGATTTCCAGAGACAGGGCGTCAGAGCGCTGCTTTTGGGTGCCTGAAAACGGATCCATTCTTTCAGAATTATAGAATTTAGGTTTCGAACACCCGGGTGCCCATGATTTAGGCGAATTCCATGGCTTCTTTTCCCGAAGAGTTTTAGGATTACTTTGGTTTGTACTACGGTCCACGGTTCCAGACCTCCCATGGCGGCTTTTGGCGATTGGGGTTGAGAATGTGGCGATTGGCGAGGTGGTTGGCCCAGCTGTGATCGAGCTAGAAGTTGCCAATTGGATAAAGACTTGTTTGGCTGCAGTGCCGACGGGGATGTTGCTGGACACGCAGGGTTGACTCATGGGTGCGCTATCCACTTCTGCCTGGGAGGTGTTGATGGCAGGTGCATTCTTGCTTCTGTCTTTGGCGCTGAACAACCGTCCAAATCGCTCGAGGGCCGTTGAGCACTGCACGCTGCTTGCCCATTCGCCCACCATTGTTAGTTCACAGTTGACATTGTCAGCATTGCATAATTCGGCGATCTGCCCCGGCGGCCTTTAGATGAAAGCACATGAAATGGGCAGTTGTGGTGCGGTGCGGAGCCGGCTCGGGATAAAGTTCAAGATCACATCTGTGCGCCCTCAGTGGTGTTCACCACAGTTCGCTGACTTCGCTCGAGCACCGCCATGGGAGCGCAGGGGATGCAGGAGCTCTCGCAGTGGTATCCCACCAGCGCGAGTCGGCAAGAAGGAGAGCGTGACGCTGCATACAGACATGATGCGGGAGGCTGACAGTTTTGGAGTCAAAAATTTGTGACCCTTGAGACAGGTGAAGTGGGAGGCGGTGGCGGCAGAACGGGGAATTTGGGTGGCGTGGCACTGGTTTAGTTTTGGTGGTGTTTTGCTGCGTTTTGTAAAGAAGCCAGTGCCGGCTTGCTTCCATTTTGAAGGAAGTGAGAAGCGCAGGGTAGCGCGATGTGGAAGCAGCGGCCCGCAGGGAAACGAAAACGGGCCGCACCACCGGGTAGGTTTCATGCTGTTTGAAAGCAGGCTCTCAAATGTGGTGCCTGTGCAGCAGTTCTGGCTCTTGGCTGCCACCTTCCTCTATGACGTGCACCAGTTTTGTCACCGCCTTGCGCTGGTGGGAAACGGCGATACAGTCAAATAGAGGCGATTCCAGCATTAGTCGATGAACTATGCAAGTAGGCAATGCAGTGGAGCATTCAAACTGGGATACCCACCAAAATGCGCGATGATTCAATTCCCCAGTTTCAGTGCCTGCTGACAGGGACCCCTGCACGGAGCAAAAAAGGGGCAATGGGTACTGATTCTGTGTCGTGAATATTAACAGCTTTGGGCCCCTCGATCTAAGGAGTGGGCGCAGAAGCTTTTTGTTCGCGGGCGCAGAAATTTATCCCAAGAATTGGGGCAGTATTCCAGAGGCAGCAAAAAGGCGCATTGCACAGGCGACAGCATCAACAATGGAAAGCTGTGACTTTCCAGAGCTTTGTCGCGAAGATGGTGGCTTGAAGTACCAACTTCACAACATTGAAAACGCACATGGCAACCAACCTCAAAGGACATGCTTTGTTCGATGGGATCCCAGCCCGCGGCGACTGACTTCCAATTTTGGCACGACAGGCTCGGGTGTGTGTTCCAGTGCGCTGTTTGGTGCATCGCCGCTGCCGGCGTTCGAATTGCGGCAGTGGGGAAGCACAGGCCGACGCAACCGATGTGCCCAACGCCCGGCCACCGCGCTTGGGCTCAGTCGGCAGTTCAGGAGCGCTCAAACACGGCCAGAGAACTCAGCGGAGCGCCGTCTCACTCAGTTGCTCTCATTGCCCCGCAGTGCCATTCGCGTCAGCGTTGAGGTGGAATAGCGACGCTGGCGCGACCACAAAACAATCGGCCGTTTGCCCAAATGTAATTACTTTTTCAGTGGCGTATGGCCGTTCTCCTAGGGCAGCCAGCCGCTTTCTGATTCTGAAATGTGTGACACCACATACAGTGAGATGCAGAAGGCCAGTCAGGCAGCTTCCCTACTCCTGGGGCTCCTCCAAATGCCACGTCGAGCGAAAACGACCCGCGCCGGGCAGAGAAATGCGCACAAATGCGGCAGCAGCTCAGAGGATCTTCACCCAACATCGACAACACCTGCGATGACTCATCGCAGGTGACTCGAGAGGGAGCACTCGCCCTGGCAGCATGGAGAAGATCCCGAAGTCGTTGTGAACCACTTGGCCCGCTGTGACATGGAAGTAGTCGGCCCCCACTGCCAGAGCGGCGCAGCCACCGGCCGTTGCTTGCCCCGAGTTACCAACTAGCTTGTAACGCGTCACATAATATGTCAATTAAGTCATACCAGCAGCTCTGTTTGTATGACATGATTGACACACAATGCACTTATGTGCTTATGTACTTATGCACTTGTTATATACTGATTGGGCTCTTTAATAATATTGCTGTCCTAATAATATTAAGTGCAGTATTTATGGGGACGGCTCGACGAGGAGTTCTTGTTCGTCTTCAATTCCTGAAACCAAGCTTTCCCTGCACGATAATCGACATGTTCGACGCGAGCCGGTCCAAAAGCGGTCCGGTGCGCGATTCAGTGCGGTGCGGCTGAGGTTCAGATTCGCGCCTTGATTGTTTGCAAGCGCGGCCACGCTGTGTTGCCGCGGCTACTAAACCAGTCGAAGGAGCGACAGACGGTACCTTCGATGGGCCACTCGAGCCGCACGCCGCACTGCACCGTACCGCGCCGTACTGCGCCATACCGCACCGTACTGCGCCGTACTGCAGCGCCGTTCGCCACCACACCCGCCGTGCGCCCTCAAGCACCCCCCCTTCAGAAAAAAAGCGCATTTTCTCACGTTACGCACAGCGTAACGGCCCCGTCGCGCCAAACCTCCCACGCCACTCCTCCCACCCGTCTCCCAACATTACCAAAACCGCCCAAAAAATTGAACGAAATCATAATAATCATCTAAAATGATTTAACATAACTATCGATCAAAAATAATTAAAGATGAATTAAAGGTGAATTTAAGTGAATTAAAAATGATGAACAGACCCTGATGTACAGACGTCGCTGCCCAATGACGCATCCCCACAAGAGCATCCGCCCCGTCCTGCCTCCCCCGCCGAGCGCGCAGAAACTCGCTCCCCAGCGCCCCGTGGTGGCACCGCCCGCCCTCCTCCCCCGCCCCCTCCCCCCTCCCCCCCTCCCCTCCCATCCGCCTTCGATCAGCGGCGCTCATTTTTCGGCTTCGGCACGTTGGATCGCGGGGGTCGGTCGGGGCCCACCGGGTGAGCCCCCTGTGGGCTTTCCGGCCGGCTTAAGTGGTTATGGCGCTGCTCGGCGCTCGGCAAATCTAAGGATAAAATGGCGTCAGGCTCTTTCGCTGCTCGCTCCGGCTCGCGTCAATCAGAATCATCTGCATCCAAAAAACTCCTACTCGTCAGAAAAACTCTAAATAAATAAATAGATATCCGATGCTATGAAACTAAAGGAAGGAAGGAGAAATCAAAGGGAAAAATCAAATGCTTCGAAGTCCTGGCATCGGGGTGGAAGCAGACAAAACAGACAAGATAACTAAAATCCCAATACTTATCTAAAGAACCTATCACTGAGCTCATCTAAATCAAAATGAAATAAAGCTTATCCGAAATGCGTCTAATCAACTCGTTAAAACAATCGTCTCGGGCCCGGACGCGACGGATCAAACCCCTTGCGCCCTGCGGGCGACGGAGGGGTGAGGCACGTCCGGCCGGCGTTTCCCGGGCCGCTTTTCTCGCGGCATCGATCGCCTATTCCGATCACCCCGGCCTCCCCCCCCCCTCCTCCCTGCCGCGAAGAGAGGCCCCGTTCCCGCGCCTGGCAGCGCAGCGTTGAGCCTCTCGCGGTGCTCTGCGCGCGAGCGTGGCCCCGCGAATGGCGAGCCGTCCGGGCTCTGTCCCTGTGCGCACTGCGAGCGGGACGGTGTGCACGTCCCTTCCTATTGGCGTCCTCTTCGTGGTGGTGCGTTGTTGGGGTGAGAACGGGGCAATGGATGGCCGTGACCACGTGCAGGCCACGAGCAGACGAGCTGCTGCGCAGTGGACAGATCAATGTCGACGTCAGTGCCTGTCCAGGTACACTACGCGCGGGGCGATGTGAGCAGAGCCGGCATGTGGCGGCTGCATTCGACCAGGCAGGCCTGCTTGCTGGCTTCCCTGAGCTTGGCATGGGCTAGTTTGCGGCTGGTGGTCAGCGCATAGTGCAGACTGTCCATTTGAGACATTCTTGCGTATTTTGGGAAGAACGGTTGCTAGGGTGCAAGGACCCATCTTTGGCAACCGAAAACAGTCCAGCACTGTGCATCGTTTCCTGGGCCGGGAGTCTGGCCAAAGCCAAGGGTGTCAAGAGCACAGGCCTTAGGGAACAAGTGCTGCAGGGTTCTATGGCTGAGGTGCACAGGCTGATTGCAATTCCTCCGGCCCTTCAAATTGCCCCCCCGTTCCCCTCCCCCCTCTTCCCACACTTTCTTCATCCCGCACCTTCTGCCTGAACCCATGCGAACCCACATATGGCACGGCCGTTTCCCTTTTGAGAGAATTTCGCCGTCGTCCCCATCCAGGATGTTTTTCCATTGCTTTGCCCTGCGGCAGTATGTGCAGGAGCTCAAAATTAGGCTTATGCCACAGATGGTGTGCCAAAGAACGTCAGTATCATCGGGAGTTCTGTGAGCAACATTTAGAGGGCTTGCAGGGTGGGGCAAGGCTTCTCATCAGACGATCCAGCTGCTCAGTTTTGGGCAAAATTTTCAGGACACAGGTCGTTCAGTTGCACCTGAAGATACCAAGTGCAACCGACACACAGCCAATACCAAGTCAGGAACTTGCCAGACACTGCAAGACAGCAGTGTGCAACATCATGTATGTGATGGATGGTACTGTGCCTGATTGGGCAATGTGGGTAGTTGGCACAGACTGTGGGGCTCTTTGGACACTGCACAGCATAGACTCCAGGTGTTGCGGGGTTCTGTATGCACAAAGAGTCAGATGGTGCAGCAAAGCTCGGGAGTGTGGCTCCTGGTGGATGTGTTTTCGAAACAGGCGCAATGACTGCGAGTTTGTTGGTGTCCAAAATAGGCCCAGTGTGCTGTCTCACAGCCGAATCTTGTCTGAATTTGGTCAATTTCCATGGTGAACCCACAGATTTAGGGCACATTGTGTACCAGACAATGTCGGAATCAGAGGCCTTTTCGTTTCATTTGTGCTATCTGCACTAGACGGGCATTCAGGCAAGAAACAGACATTGCTGAGGGTCTCCCACCTGCACCGTCTAGATTGTGGCCTGGTTCAGACTTGTTTTATGACTGAAGAGGCAAACGCCACACAATGGGCATCTCCCTTGGTGCAGAAGTTGCTCCAAGGCTCTTTCAAGTGCTTTTTTGAATGCTTTTTCAATGTGATGATGAAGAACAGGGTGATGCAGAAGTCTCCTTATGCAACAGGAATAGCATGCCAAAATAGAAAATATAAGAATATAGAAAATAGAAAGAAAATACAATGGAACAGCAGACGTCGACTGCCTGTTGGAACTCAGTGGGGGGATGTTGTCCACTGCTGGAAGGCGATTTCTTTTTTCCACGGTGAAAATGTTGAAAATAGTATTAGTTATTAATACACCAATGTGTGGTACTAGATGTGAAAATGTTGCAGAATTAGAGCCCAAGCAGCAGTGGAAGGCATAGCCCCACTTGTTGCTGGGGCTTGTGCTTCGCTGGGCACCATGTTGAGCACTCGCGAGTGGCTGTGCCAAAAGACGCGATACAGCATTCGTTGGGTCGGTTCGTTGGAAGAAAACAAAGAGACAAATTGGATTTGCTTGATCGGTGTTCTCTGAGGGCACCTCAACCCCCATCCCCCCAAAGAGTGCTGAACTTCTCTTTTTTGAGACAGGGGATTTTGCAGATGCGAACACCTTTGGGGCCGTAACATGGCCTTGCATCTCTTGCTGGGTGGCACCAGGCCTGTGTGTCTTGTGATAGGATGGGGGAGGCGTCTGGACATAAACATGTGGTGCACTATTTTTGAATCAAAAGAAGACTCAAAGACATGATAGAGCTGCGTGCTCACATTCGCACTTGGGTACAAATTGGATTCGCATTGAGCCGTAATCCATTCATGTGCTGGGATTGTTTCCTTGTTGGCGTTGTTCTCTATTCCAAAATACTTATAACATTCACTAGTCCAGGTGCCACATCCACACCCTCAGAAGCAGTGTCGGCCTCGTGCCATGCAACAAGGGTTATTAGATTTGTTGAATATTTGCTATGTATCAAATACATGCTATTGAATGTATTGTGGATGCAGTGCTGTCTGTCATCCCCTTGTAGAAATGAGGGCAGGGTGCCTGTCCGTCAATGCCTGTGTGGCCAAAGCAGATATGCGCAGCTCAGGGAGACTATCTAAGTTTGTCTTGTCTTGTTTCCGCTCCCACCTCCATGTTGAGCTGTCGACTTCTTGTCGCATGCCAGGTGTGCGCGTACACCACCTTGGGCCTTGGACTCCCATTCATGGACCATGGGCGCACTGACCAGGGGGACAATGAGCAGGTATGTGCACCTGGTGCACTGTGTCTTCTTTCCTATTGTCTTGTCTTGTTTCCTATTTCTTATTTCCTGTTGTTTGCCACTTGTTTGTGTGTTTGTCTATCACCTTTTTTTTGTAATTTCTGTTTTTGCTTGCCATGGATTGTCACATCACATGTGAGACTTCAGTTGTGCATCCAGAGTGCTGTGAGTGTTTACTCTATTCTAAATCATCTCATCCAGAAACAGGGAGCACAGGTGCAGCGTGATCTATCACTGATGTGCTGAAGGGGAAATGAAGTTCTACAGGCCGAACGGATATTCTGCAGCCCAGATTTCGCTGTGTATATCCAGGCCATGTTTGAGTTAGGTGTGGATAGATTCTTTGTGTTTACGTCGTTCCATAGCTGTTGAAAACATTCTGCACAAATACTGCTCAGCTTCCTTGCAAGGGTTCGTTTATCGAGTGTGCCACTTCATTATATTTATGCAAGAATCAACAAGTGCTGCCAATCTTCCTCACAAGGTGTCGTGGCAAAAGTGGTGAAGTGCAAAAGTCGTGCAAAATTCTTGCACCTCGTTGCCCTCATTCGGCTGCTTGCACAGTGCCCCTGCTCATTGGGCTGGAGTTGCAGGTCGAGCACCAAACTGAAGCAAAATGTGGATCTGCCGATGCCACATTGAATCTATGCTACCACTGCCTGCAGGGTAGCTGAACGTGGATCTGGATCAACACACACACACACACACCCCTTGAATGCGGTTTTCCCTGTGCCCTTACCCCTCCACAGTGCACGCCGTTCCCATCACACTCTGACACCATATCCTGCATCCTGACAAAGTGCCCACAGCATTTGTGCATGCTTCATTGTACATGGCACATTCTTGGCGTTTCCATCGCCAGGCCTGATGCTCCCCTTGTACTGAGAAAGCAGCCTTTGGAGTCAAGACACAACGTAGAAACGTTGCAAGACATAGCACACAAAACACAATGCAAACATGAGGGGGGACAACATCCACAAACATATAGAGACAGACAAGGCAGCAGAGAAACTGCTGTGTTGTGCGCAGCACAACACGAAAACATATCATAGGAGCGTACTGCAAATTCTCAAGTGATTGTCCTTGCTGCTGCCGCGGTCAGGACCAGGATCAGCGGCGGCCCAAGGACTGGGGCACCCTTCCGCCCCACCTGCTGGACCGCGTCAAGGACGTCCTGGAGCAGAACTACGAGGGCGGATGCCAGGTCATCAAGGTCGCCCGCCTGGTCAACCGCCACTGGCACGCCTGGGCGGTGCAGGCGGCCACGTTCCTGTCTCCCAACGGAGGCAGCACCCTCAGCGTGCTGACGGAGATGATCGCGGCCAAGTTCGCGCGCGTGGAGGGCCTCAGCCTCCGGGAGCGGCTAAAATTCTCGGGATGCGACCTGGCGGCCCTGGAGCGCATCCGGGCCCTCCAGCGCCTGGACTTGGAGGGGGCCTCGCAGATCAACAACGTGGGGCTGCAGTGCCTGGGGAGGCTGACCGGGCTCACCCAAGTCGGCCTGCACGGCTGCCGGGACGTCACCGACGCCGGCGTGCGCAGCCTGACGACCCTGACGCGCCTGCGGCGGCTGCGCATGTCGGAGTGCGAGCGCGTGACCGACGCGGGGCTGCAGTGTCTGCAGCGGCTGTCGGGGCTGATGGAGCTGGAGCTGGTCGGCGGCGGGCGGATCACGGACGTTGGCCTGGCCCACGTGGCGTGCCTGCCGGGCCTCGAGCGCCTCAACCTGACATCGTGCAAGAGGATAGCCGGCGGGGGACTGCGGCATTTAGTCAGACTCACGCGGCTGGCGCACCTGTGCCTCAACGGCTGCAAGAAGGTGAAGAACGCCAGTATCGAGCACCTGGGCGGCCTGTCCTCGCTCACCCATTTGGAGGTGGCCTCTTGCGAGCACATCACAGACGAGGGGCTGGAAGAACTGGGGCGGCTGGCGGGACTGGTGCACCTGGGGCTGCAGGGCTGCAAGCGGATCACCAACGAGGGACTGGAGTCCCTGTGGGGCATCAAGTCGCTGGAGCACCTGGACCTGGGCTTCTGCAAGAACGTCACCGACCGGGGTCTGGAGCAGCTCGGCTGCCTGCGGCGGATGGCCGTGCTGGACCTGCACGGCTGCGACAGCATCACGGACGCCGGCCTGTGCTGCCTGCGCAAGCTGAAGCGCCTGACGGGGCTGGACCTCCGGGGGTGCGTGCACGTCACGGATGTCGGCATGGAGGTGCTGGGCACGATGACGGGCCTCAGGCGGCTGGACCTCACCGGATGCAGGACGGTGACGGATGAAGGGCTGGCGTTTTTGGGCCAGCTGACGCGGCTGGTGGTGCTGAGCCTGCACGGGTGCAAGCGGGTGAGCGACGGCGGGCTGGCGACCTGGGAGCGGCTGACCAACCTGGCGGAGCTGGACCTGCAGGGCTGCGTGCGGGTCACTAACGTGGGGCTGCAGTTCCTGGCGGGGCTGCCGTCGCTGAGGAAGCTGGAGCTGACGTGGAGGGACGGTGTGACGGACGTGGGGCTGGAGAGCCTGCTGCGGAGGTCCATCGTCGTCAACTACGTGCACTGAACTGAACCGCGGTGGAGAATATATCAGTCCCTCTGTCTTCCGTGAGGACCCCGTCGTCTTCCGCTGACAAGGCCCCAAGTGGGTCGGTGGGTCAGTGGTTTAGGGTTTAGGGTACAGGGTGTCGAAACAAGCATCGACAATCACAAAAAAGAGGGACCAATTTCGAACTGAACTGCGGTGCGTGCATTTACTGCCTGCGCTGCGCGCAATGGCGGATTGCAGGCGGTGACGTCGTCGGCCGCACAGCAGCAGTGGGAATAGTGGGAAGTGTTGCACCGGCGCCTCTGGGCATTGGCGGATGGTGTGGGCAGCAACGCAGGATTGCGCTCACCGGTGTGTTGAGTCATCTGTGGGTAGAGGTTCATTTGGCAGGCGGCTCCATGGACAGTCATCGGGAGCAGTGGTGAGGAAGCAGCCGGTGCAGATGGAAATAGGGGAGCGCCGCCGCTGTGCGCTGATTGGAACCGAACATTTTTGCATGTCTGGGTGAAGAGGCAGCCTTGGGCGCCCTGTTTCGCCCAAGAAAATGGGTGCCCTGATGGTGGGTGAGATTGGTGCTGTGTCTTCTCTGTGACCGCTGATCCACCAGGCCGTACTCGACAAGAGCATTGTTTAGCCAGCGATTCAGTGGATTATAAGATGGTGTGGTGGCATTGTGGACAGCGGTGAATAGGCCGCCATTACCACTGTGCAGTGATCGATGGCCAGTCTTGCCCCGGATGCTTTGTGTCACCGTCCCTGGGAGCGTTAACTAGCCAGTGCCTGGAGGGGAATTGTCGATTCCGGTGGTGGCATGGGGGCACAGCGGGGAATAGAGCACTGTCACCAATGTGCATGCTTGCCCTGCCGCCTGAGCCTTTGCAAGCCGGGTGTGGGCTCACTAGGGCTTTCAGGGTTTGTACGTTCAGCACTTTCAAGACTGAATCCGGGATGGGTTGACTGGGTTGTTAGTACACAAGGTCCGCTGCTAGTAGACCATAGGTTTCGACGTCTGAAACGTGGATTGGCGCTTGTGCTTGTGCCATGGAACGGGTAGCCGTAGTCTGTGACTTGACTGGCGCACCTGTCGAGGCAGAGCCCTTGTGACGCTACAGTGAAGTGCACCCAAGACTGCAGTGCTTCTAGTATTTGAAGGTATCTGAAGTATCGGTGTGCGGTGGTTGGCGCCACATCAGGATGTGGCCTGGGCGCCGAACCGCTGCTTGGAATAAATTGCAACGCCGACATAAGCGCGACAAGATTGAGAGTGTCGTCACATTGTGACCAAGTCGTGACTTGGGTTTTTAAGTTCTTGGGCTTGCAGCTGTCGCACGCAACAAGGCACACCGCTGGTGGCGGGCGTATGACGTCACGAAGCGTGATATTTGTGTCAACCGGACAGGTGCTGACGCCAAGGTTGCAACGAACTTTTTCTAGAGCAACGCTGACTCAGAATGTCCCACATCCCTCGCTTGAACTCCCAAGGTCCAAACTCTCACTTGCAGGTCATAACCCTTCACTTCGTTTCCTACTCTTTTGCGTCTTACAGTGCAGCCGCGGCCTGCTACACTGCCTGCACCTAACACACACGGCATGCACCCATCATTAGCCCAATGTACATTTCCTGTGAGGTTTTGGCAGTGGTGCCAATTTCCATCGTATCTCGCACAATCGTGATGTTGGTGTTGATTTTCAACACCCGCGTTGCACAATCGCATCAAGGGCCACCAGCCCGCGCTTTGTAGAATGGGAAAAGTTGGGGAGGGAAATGATCCATCAAGAACTGCACGAAGATAGATGGCGTGCTCCTTGAAAGAACGCGGGTCCATGATACCAATGGGTTGAATTTCCAGTCGCCATCTCTCAAAGCCTGCCTCAACATGCGTGTCCACTATTACAGTTCCATCCGGTTGCAGAAATGTGCTCGCAGTCAAGATGCGATAGTCTTGAGACCATGGCGGAGGGGTGGCTGCAAGAAGTCCACCCTCTAGCAGCGGCGTCGTTGGCGGCACAATCTTCTGGATCTCCCAGATCTCTGCCTCAATCTGCCGGATGGCGGCCTGTCGTTTCACTCATGTGCTGTGGATGGTGGGAATCCGCTCAGACACAGCCAGCGCCAAACGGCGTGTGGGGATATGTTGCTCAGTTGGTTGTGGACAGTTGGACATGGTTGCTGAATCGATTGGAGGTTTTCACAGCAGATGTGGTGCGACAATGCCTGGCGACTGTTGGCTATTTGGAGCATTAGGAGATGTGTTGGGTACCTGCACATGCAAAAGCCTGGCTGTGGAATAGTTGATCAGATATGGAAACGATGCGAAGCATTCTTCATGCTGAGATGGCCGATCTCCAAGGATTTGAAGAGGTGTTACTGGCCTGGTTTCAAGCTAGGGCGCTCTGTACTTTGGCCGCCAATTCACCTGCCATTCCGCCCTGTGACGGACAGCTGGTGTGGTGACACAGCAATCGTGTGGTGGTGGAACGGCCCGTTTGTCGGAACCAGTGCTTCGACTGCGGCCGGAAGTTTGGCTCGCACGGTGACAGGACCTGGCGCGGTGTATGGACACCGAGTTCGACCTTAGTTTGTCGAGTACTTTTCCCCCTACCATCTTTGGACCTGGAGTGCGGCTCCTGTCATGCCAAATTTAGTCTCTTTGCTTCTAAAAGTGTACCATGTACGCGCAAGGTCAACGACCCATCCTACACAAAAGGATGGCGGGGTCATTCTGACAATGATTCGGAGCAGTGGACCTGGGCCTGTCTGGAGCGAAGGACCTGAGTCTATGCTCGAGGCGACTCCCCTCCAGCAGAGTCAAAAAGCTAAAGAAATTCTGCAAAGTGCTGTTTCGGAGTGAATGGGGGCAACGCGCCACAAGCGTTACCAAAGTCTCCATTCGTTCAACGACAGTTGGCGATGAGCGGACCGTTGTGGTCACAGATCGCTTAGCTGTGCGCAATTGCAAAACGAGGAACAATACTCAATAGGTCTGATTCACAATGAAAATAGATGCACGTATGGCACAATCGACACTTGGCGCGGCATTCCTGTGTTCTGCGCTGCACGTGCCAGAATGCGCGCCTGATAGTGGAGGCCCCAGTGACACATTGGGGCCACCCTAAACCTGTGCGCAGCGCGAACCACAAAGTGAAGTCTTCCGCATTCTCCACAGTGCGACAAGCCAAGAGTTCACGGCCACGGGTCCATAAAAAAACTGCCACAGGTTTTGGTCCCCACCGCCAGCCTTCATTTTTTCGCTTTGGTCGTCTCCAGTTGCCCCTGGAAATGAAACAAGCAGCCAGCTCAGAGGGGCGAAGGAACCTCGGGCGCGAAGAGTTGGGCTTTGCGCAATTGTACAAGGGCCCAACTTTGTGTGGAAAGGGTGGCACCAACCAGGCACGCCTGAGGACGGAGCTGTGCTGAAAGATTGATGTGGTGCGGAACTGTGTGAGGACAAAGAAGACCCCGATTCGTTGCAATATTGCCACACAGCTGTTCAGGACTGAAAATGTCGGCGAAAAACATGCAGGGGTCACTGCAAAGCGTAGATGCTACCGATCCCCGTTCCTGCAGCTAACTGTTGAGAAGAGTCACGGCCACGTTTCTATTGCTATCTAAAGCTCACTGCTACAATTCACTATCATCAATGCCGCTGGTTTTCATTGCCACCATAGCTATCACAGAAACGCTGCAAGACAATAAACATCACAACATAGCTATTCCTACCAGCCTTACCCCGTTTGGCTCAAATCAACACGAGCTGCGAACATTTCCTGCCACTGGGCGAAGCACAAAATGTGCCATTACCTGTCCTACTATTTCTATTTCCGATGCAAGAAAACATTTTGTGATGTCAGAGCACGGAATGAGAAAACGCAAGCGTGCACGAAACAAAGTGTGCACACACTAAGTATTAACACACACCGCCTACTGCTGCTGTAACAGCCACACGTCGCTCTTCTTTCCTGCTGGGGTACAAGCACCGGAGGAGCTTTTTTATGGGGCCGCTCACCAGGTTCAGCAAAAGGCTGTCCGCGTTGAGGAACACCCGGTTGGCTGAGTTAGAAACTGTCTGGGCGACCTCGCGCGCCGCCTGTTCCAAAACAGCATCGGACAGCGTCAAACGACAAAGCTCCGCAAGGAAAGAAAAGGATGGGCGATCCGCAAGCCACCGGCTCCCCATGAACTCCCCATTAGCGACGGCAATACATGCATAGGCGCTGGACCAAGGTTCACCATGAGGGTGCCACTTGGCTGCTGGCTCCCATCTCGGCTCACCACCTTTGGACAAAGTCTGTCTTGGTGTTCTGTCGCCAACATTCTATTCGGAACGTTGGCGGCTGGTGAGTTCTGGGTGCTCCAACATCTTTACCTTTCATTAAATAACACCCACAAAGACCACTAGAAACAGAAGTGCCTGATCATCGCAACTCAGCATGGCCACTTGCCATGACCAGTGTCTCGTTTTCCATGTTGCTGCAATAAATGCATTAATTCAATCTCATGTAGAATTATGAGCTGACAGTGCCTCCTAGTCTGGATTTGTAGTTCATTACTGCTAGAACTGTAACCTCCACGGAATTGTTATATGCAATATTTCTTGGTTGAATGGATCCCTTAACCTACCCCATAATTGACATCAACACCATAGTTGAACTCGATACCAAAAAAGATATAAAGAACTACCAAGTTGAGCAGCATTGTGCTCCTTCATGTACTCAAGCACAGGCACCACATGTTCTCCTACTGCCAGCATATTGATTCACACATAGCAGTTGAGGATAGTCAAGTGCAGTGAGGCTGCTGTTCAAAGAGAAAACTCACAATGCAGGATACCGCAGCACAGTTCACTGAAGCATCCAATCCAACAACTCATGAAAGCTCTTGATTGAAAGAGAGTTGTTTTCTGGTAGTTGAGGTCTAAGGTGCACCAGCTACCATAAAAAGTAGCATTGTGGCATTTGCGTCCAAGCTGCAATACTTTGCACCAATAGTAGTACAAGCACCATTCCCTTGAGAACTCATAGCATGACAAAATGCATGGACGAATCCCATGACTGAACAAAAACAGCCAGCATGTAATCAACTGGAGTGTGTGCAACAGAAATTCCACAAATGATGGACCTCACCTCGATCTTCCGCAGTGTGATAAACGAAGGATTGTCACGGATGGCTTCGCCAATCAATCTGGCACTCTCAGCCTGTTCATAGCAAGGTGATCAGCACAGCACAGCAGATCAACTCTACCTTCAGTGCACCTGGTAAGGTTTTGACGATTCAATAAACTCGAATTTTCCAATTTGTGTTCAGCGCCCAATTCTGCAAGTTGTGGTCATCCCCTGCCAGAGCGCTTCCTGTCACCCCAACCTGGGTAAAACATTTTCCTTCAAGAACTACACAATTCCAAATGCGTGATGCACCTCCTGGATATCACTATGAGTGAGACAGCAATAAATGCGACAATGGCAATACGAACCCCAATGACACTATCAGTGGCGCCATCGCTATTCACCGGCTTGTAGCATTCAAAACAAACGCTGGCTGCCTGAGATGGATCAAAGGCTCACCCTGGGACGCACGGAATTGATGCACTGACCAATCTGCTGTAGTGGTCTGTTCTTCACGAGTTTCTAGGAGAACATTGTCCATTATCGGAGGACCCACGTTTGATGGTGAGGAAACAGCAAGTGTGTCACATGAATGAGGCCTTCCCAGCCCAAAGTGCTCACTTCATTCTGGACAGAGGATCTCACTCAGCAATAGAGAATCTATGGGCTGCAATCCAGTACTTATGCTTCAAGGGCTGTGACTTGTCTTGTTTGATTATTGCCCACTGCTACAATTGCTTGCGCTTCACAGGACACCTGGAGCGAACTGTGCCACACGAAACTTGGCATGACCTGATGTAGATTTTTTAAAACTTAGGCATCACACACCTCACCCTTCGCCCGGACTATCAACATCTGTTTTTCTTGGACCGCCCTGTCAACCTGCATCCATGCCACACCTGCCTTACCGCCTTTCTCATCGCAAATGTTAAATCCTTTGGCCACACAGCTTGGGTGGCTCCAGAATTGGTGCAAGCACTCAGCACTGTGGTGCACGGGAGCAGCTGGAAGCTCATTCTCGCACATCGCCATTTTTTGCTTCATAGCACTTCATAGCACAGGGACAATGCACGGATGCCCACAGATCACTGAAACACTGAAAATATCATATTCAACGCAGCTAAATAGAGTTCGAGCAAACTTGGAATAGGGAGATGAGAAGTTGCCAAAAGCCATCTACAAGGCACTCTGTAAACCACCTGAATGTCATAAGTCAGGGCAGCTGGCAGGCACCAAATGCAGCATATGGAGACACACACAAACAAACACCACAATATATGATGGTCGATACTGACAATAATATGGTCAACTGATGGGCTGATCAAATCTTGACCGGCACTCCATTGGCTAAAGGTCTTTGGCAACGATGGTCCGATGGTACAATGCAATTGTGTACATATGTCAAATTACAGACTACATCGCCATGAACAGCTGAAAATCATGAATTGGTACTGAAGTAAATCAATATCAAAGGGAACCGATTAATAGCAACCTGCTTTCATCAATTTCATATTTAGAACACTACCATGCACACAGTGCTGGAGCCGGGCCTATTCATGCAAAGTCGACAGCGTTTCTGGAGCTAATTTTGTTACCTTCAACAAATTACTCAACTGTATATAATGAGTCACAAAGTAAGAAAGTGTATAGTTTGCCCCAGCTTACACAGCTCACATGCACCAATCTTGACCAGTAGAGAAGTCTACAACCAAATGGAAAGGGAAGGAGGCTGTATCCCCTCTTAACTATCCGATAGGTACCAATCCATTATTATTAATCCATAGTTACTTTGGCTGCTAGCATCTGGTGGTTGTGCATAGGACAGTCTGCAGCTGGGCGCATGCCAACGCAGCCCTGTAAGTGCAAGGCCTGTGTCTGGTCTGTTTTCATCCCTTGCATATGTACAAACAATACATGCATGCACACAACAATACAAACATACACGCAACTAATGCAGTTCAGTGTACCATGCCAATAGCACTTAATTGTTGATACCTTTCATGATCAGCAATTAGTGTGACAATCAAGGCATTCACACCCACCACAAATTTGGACCTCTCTGCATCCTGCTGCGCGACTTGCTTGGCCTCCACCGCTGAGGTGTACTCCCGGCTGAATGTGAGCTGTGTGATGGACACATCGTCAAGGACGATGTTGAAGAACCGCGCGCGTTCTGTCAGGATTCGGCGGATGTCCTTGCTGACCAGCTGCGGCACAGCATCAACAGCAACAGCACATCAATCAATTGGTCCTTGCTGACTGGGGCACCGCACTTCCCACAGATACCATTGGTCACAAAAAAGGCACGAGAACCAACCGCCAGTCCATTGAAGGCGATGCCAGACACAGCAATAGCCAACTGGTTTTACAGTTTGTGGACCAGTTCTATTTCAAACTCCAAACACTGCAACGCGTGGATTCTTCAGAGTGATGCAACGTTTCGGAATCCAACAAGCTATGTCTGTTTAGTTCCCCTTCATCAGTGCTGTGCACAATGCTGAGTGCACTATGTGTGGATGGCATGTGTGTGTGGAGGAGCAGTGCCTTGTCATGACTCAGGAAACTTACTCTGTATTGTATGCAACACACAGAATGTGAATAGGTGCAAACAAACACTACAATACAACATCTGTATGGCAACTCAACGGACTGCAGGCGAGGCATCTGCAGGGTATGGATGGGGTGGCAGCACCCTCCACCGTGCATGCCAAGCATTCAATACAAATGAGAAGCATCCAAAAGCATCCGAACAGAGCATCCGAATTGCATTGCAGCTTCTTTGCTGAAAACACCTTAATATGAGCACTCCATGTGCCTGAAAAGCCCAAACCTGCACTGCAATACCCAGGTGGACGTGCTTGCGCGTTTCGGCACTTAGAACACAGCATAACTATGCAGCTGAGTCCAGGGCACGCATACCTCACGCATTGTCAGCAGCTGGCTGGCATTGTATTGTGCAATCACACTCTTCAGCGTTTCCTGCAAGGAACACACAAGCTTCATTCTGGAATATTCTATGAACATGGCACAATACTTCCATTATGTCACATTTGGGATCCCAAGGTGCCGCCTGGGACCAAAGAGATGCGGGCCTAATCATGACAATGACTTCAATACAGTGGACAGTAATAAAAACAACATTCATAGTGACATCGTATTAACATTGTCAATATCACTGTCGCTAGCATCACAGTGCAATGTGACAAAGCAGAGCTCCTAACAGTATGCCCACGGTCGAGTCCTTTCCCATTGAAAGCGCAAAATTTCCTCAGTGTGTGTATGTGTGGTCTTTCCCCTTGTGTGCAGTCCAGTGCCCTCAGCCCACCTGTATTATCGATGGTAGCACCCGCTCTGCATAGTCGGTCCCCAGGTTCCTGTAGATCTCAGGCAGCTTCAGGGGGTTTGGGTGGGTGAGCACTCGCAAGCTGATGTTCACCTGGAAAGGAAGCCCACAGGTGAATTCCATCGATCAGGCTATACACCAATAACAACAAGATGAGAAAGATAGAGACTTAGGTGGAAGTCAAAAGCAACAGCTCTGTCACAAAATCGTGAGAAATCCAATGACCCTGCGCTGACGATCATTGGAGATACCGACTGCCTGACAGGTATGCACCACAGCTGCACAGGGAGTCATCCACCCTGGCACTACCATATGGGAAAGCATCTCAGAGAGTCTGTTTTGAAGAAGCATGTGACGAGTACATGATGCATTTCCCTATGGGCCAGGGTGTGTTTTGGACAGGAATTTCAGCGTCCTCAGAGACTGCTGCTGCAGTCTTTTGATCTAAGTTCAGAAACGGCCTGTGCCATGACCAGTGTATTGTTTCCACTTTGCATCCTAGGGATACGTCCATTCAATCTCATGCATTCATTCATTCTTTTCTTGTGATACACTCTTCTTCATTCTCCTGCATCTACCCATTCAGTAGTGAACATGCCCACAAATGTTGCCTTGTCAGTGTATGGTATCAGTTCACTTCTTCAAGAACCCTGTTGAATTGACAAGCTGTCCAACAATCGGAACCCCAACACAAACCCTTTATGGCCTACAGTGTGAGCAAAGCATTTGCAGCAGATGCCCACACTGAGAACTTCACATACAACAGAATACATGCCTGTCATTGGTTCTTTCTTCCGGAGCCATGGGCTGCCAGTATTTGCTGCAACAACATTGTTTGCAACCCAAACAATGCGGGTGTGGGCCTGGCTAAGGAGAAACCAACAAAAAGAAAAGCCAATCCCACATTTTTTTTCACAGGCGAATTCTGCGGATGGAATAGGGCCCCAAGCTCTGCTATATCCTGCCACGATCACTTTAACACAAAATTCAACGCACAACATATATATTAGTCAACCGATCCAAGCTGCATCCCCAGCGTAGCATGGCAAGTTGACAATGAGAGCATCTTAACTTCTGCATAAATATCTGCCTAGTTGTCTCATCTTGCGATGCAAGTGCTTTGGGGGTCCATTTTGGACATCCCCATTGTGGGTGGCATCTGTGGCCCAGCTGGACACATTCAGCTGCTTGAGAGTTTGACACAGACTTGGTTGTTGGAGAGCACCCAACATGTGTCAGGCTAAGCCACAGCAGCTTTGAATTGTAGTTGCTCTCAAAATTGAGCATCCCCAAAGCAGATTACAAAAGTCCTCATCAAACCCTCTCAATGAACGATGACCTTCTGCTGTCATCCAGAGTCTTGCCATGAAAAAAGGGTTAATGTGCATTCTTCTTGCTGCTGAAGCGAAACACAAACATGCCTTGAACAGATGGGCTATATGCCAAACCATCTATTGGACGTTCATGGACAAACCGAGAAAAAGCTGGTTTTGCACCTGGTTTTGCACCAGTTACTGTTGTTTGCCGCTGACTCTTCTGTTCCTGGTTTGGAGTCGTCAGGTACTGAGCTCATCCCAATGCGAGATTATAAGATTCGTTCTCTTCTTTTCCTATGATTCTTTCCTTTCTCTCATCATCATCATATCATCATATCATGGGGAGGCATGTGTTTTCTTTCATATGATATTCTGGGACGAGCATTCACAAATGTTATCCAACAACTGTGTGCATAGATACCGGCCCTTCGCTGCCTGGCTGGTGTGAATGTGCTCAACTGTCAGCCTTGCAAATGGATACCAGTGGAAGGAACAGAGTCGCAGCCACCGCACTCACCATCTGGAGGTCCCGGCTCCCCGATGTGCTTGAGATGAGGTTGGGCCTTGCCCTGACATCATAAATGATGGGCCGCTCGAACCACGGGATCATCAGGTGGGTACCCTCGGGATACACCTGAATTGCATAAGGACAAAGTGAAATGGTTGACACTGCTTACTGGGCATGCCATTCATCTGTGCTCAATGCTGCACAAAATCGAATCGAAAGAATGACCTGGATAATCCGGCAGCACTTGATTTGCGTGTGTTGAAAAGGAAATTGTTTGTTGTTGGCCACATGGCCCAACACCCACAACATCATGGGCTCATCGAAGTGCCAAACAATTGTGGACAAGAACACGCGTTCCCTTGACCTTTGAAGCCCCACACCTCCCAAGGAACTAAAAATGGTCCAAATGGGACGAATGAAACTGACCAACTTCCTTCTTCTGCAAGGTGCAAGGGACTTGGTTCGTTGCAAGACGTCGAGCAAACCACAATCTGGGGAATCTTCCAGCCCCCTGATCAGCTGGGGATCAGCGGAGGCTGCACCAGCGCCCCTGGAGGAGGCTCCGCTGAGGGATTCCCTCTGAGCTACGTCTGGCGACGGCGGCTCATCTGCTGGGCGCCGATTCGACTGACCCGACTGACTTGACCGACCCGTGGGGAGTTGCCGGGCATCACAGTCATTGGCAACTCGAAAATGGGGGGACAGTGATCGGATAGCACAACTAGCAAATTGGGATAGAAAGCAGCAAAGGTCGGTGAGAGCCGACGTCGCTAGGAGGGTGGATCCGGGCGGGACGTCACCGCTCAGGTTGGTGGACACTCTGACGTGCAAGGGTCCCCGTGTAAATTGGAATTACAGTCCCGGGCGCCCGTCGCGGGTCGGCGCAGGTGCCAAGCCACCGTCGGGAACACCGATCAATCACGCCCGCGGCAGCTTTCGCTGGGACCCAGGGCCAGAGAACCGATGAACAGATGCCGGTCGCTGACTTCAGAGGCCAGGGTTCGGTTCTGATCAGCTTTTAGCTATGCTTTCACCCATGCTTCCTGCCCCACCCCACGCACGCCGAACTCCTCGATCCGCGTCCACCTTGGCCGGCGAGGCGGAGCCAGGCCACGCCCCGTCGGTGCGGTTCCCGCCCCACCGGCTCGCGCATCGCCTCCCGCGTAATCGCAACGAGCGCTGCAAACGTGGGCGCCCACGAGGCATGGTACGCGTCCCAAAACATGCGCCCTCTCTCGTTGGACAAGCAGCCCGCCCCGCTCCGATCGCGACGGCCCCCCTGCCCTGCGACGCCGCTCCGCAGCTCGATTTTCAATGCGGAGGCGCCGACGAGCTCCGATCCTCGGCGGCGTCGATTCACCGGCACCAGCGCCGCCGCAATGCCCCAACGAACTCAGGGCCAATGGGGATTATCCAGCGGGACCCAATCCCTCCTCCCCTTTCCTTCCCCTTCCCTCAACACCCCCCGGGCGCCAGTCATCAATCCAAAGCCCCACGTCGGCCGTCCTCCCCTCCTCCCCGCCCGCCGCCTCTCCACCACATTCAATTCCGAAAGCAAACAGCCACACAAGCGATGCAATTGAGGCGGCCAACGCCAGATCTGCCCTCCTTCCCAAGCCCCACCGCCTTGACCACGGAAAGAAGACCGTCAGGCCCCACTTTGACGGCGCTAGTGTGCGGCAATTGTCCATTTCTTCAGGTGGTGAAGGAGGAGGGGGCAAGCTTGGGCCAATTCTGCAAATCGGGATTGATTCGCCCCCAAGCCGGGGGAGGGAGGGGTTCTTGAGGGACCTCGCCAAAGCCTGTGCTGCCATGCCCGCCACAAAAAAGGAACCGCCGGGACAACGCGATCGACGGGGGTGAGCAGCTCGCACCTCCTCTTTGATGCCCACCACGCGGTTGAACACGATCCCCCTGTAGCCACCGTCCACCGTGAACAAGCAGTTCATGGCGCCGTAGATGGCGGCGCCGCCCATGATGGCCAGGCGCGCCAGGCGGCCCGCGGCGGTGCCGCTGGGCAGCTTGACGTTGGGGATGCGGTCCATGGCGGAGGGCGGCGGTGGGGGCCGCAGCGGGGGGCGCTTCCGGGTGAGGGGTGGGGCTGCCCAGGCACTGGGGAGTGGATATCTGGCGGGATGGAGACCTAATGGACTGGTCAGGTCGAAATGGATAGGTTAGGTTTGATCAAGGAGTTTCCAGCGCCCGAGTGTTAAACCTCCCAACAGGAGGTGATGCGCTGTGAAAAACCAGGCCCTGCGGAAGCAGACCGCAAGGGCCGCCATCACACACAGACCAGGTGGAATGGCTGGGCTGTGGTCTAGGAACCAAGTCGCAGACACCTGGGTTGGTGGTGTGGCGGCCACCAGGGCTGGTGGTGTGGCACCCACAAGGCAGGCTGGCAGTGCCACTCGCACAGACAGGGCGAGGAGGGCCTTGGCGTGAGCGTGTCCTCTCCTGCAGCGTCCTTGCGACTCAAAGAGTAGGAGGCTTAAGGCAGAAGATGCTCAAAGTTGGGTCTTCAACAGGTGCTCACAATGCACTCGTGAATGGAACTCGTTTCTTGTTCTCATTTAGTGACCTGGATGATGGTAGGGGGCGGATTGGTCGGTAATCGGGCCCCGGTGAGCAGCAGGGAGCGAAGGGAGCAGTAATAGAGGCCTAGGGGCGGATGGGAGCGGTATGGAATCATCACTACATCGGTAAAGTAGCCTCTCTTTGCGCCCATCCCGTCACCGACCGCGGCGCTCCCTCTCTCGCCGCTTGGCGACCTCGGTGGGCACAGGTACCAAACGAACGGCGCCTTTTTGGGCGCCCGCTCTGCCGCCTACGTGGGCCTCGATTGGCCCCCACGGGTGGTGGGAGTGGGCGCCCACCAGGCGCAATTTTCTTGACGAAATACGGCACCTCGCGGGCGCCCACTCCCGCCACCCATGGAGGCCAATCGAGGCCCACGCGGGTGGCATGAATGGGCGCCTGTACCGCGCCATGCTCTTGGCAAAACGGCGCCTCGCAAGCGCCCATTCCCACCACCCGCGCGGCCATCGATTGGTCGCCGCGGGTGGCGGAGGTGGGCACCCGCGAGGCGCCACTTTTCGGGCAAGTTTAGCACCCCGTGGGCGCCCACTCCTGCCACGCACGGGGCCGAGACTCGCCCCCGTGGGTGGCAGTAACGGGCGCACATGAGGCGCCAATCAACCCACCTTCTGTGGCTTTCCACCACCGCTGCGCCGCTCGCCGTGCTGCTAGCGCCATTCCTCTCGCGTGGCCGCAACGGTACTCCACGGGGCCGCAACGGTACGCAAGGTACGCTCCCCCACTCCCCCATCCCACATTACCGGATAACACGGCAAGTTCTCAGTTTTTAACGGACAGTACGGCAAAAATAATCGGAAATACAGTACGGTAATTAACGTACGGTGGCGGATGGCCAGCGCCGACCTCACATGGAAGCGCATCTGATGTCTGGACCGGGGGCATAAACAGTTCCATGTCCAAGAGCAGGGAATTGCTTGAGACCTCCCATATTAACGCTAGATACTTACTCCTTCATCGAGCGGGTGTCTCAGCGTTCGAAACATTGCCATGCTGATTGCCCATTCCTGGCCATGATCATTTGACCAACATTCCACTTTCTTGGCGTTTATCAGGTCATCTTTCAACTTTAATATTCCGTGATGTCAGGCTCTTGTGCATTTTTTGCAGGTCCTATCACAGCTTTAATTACTCCTGTCTATGGCGTACATTTTGCAGCTCCAGCAGATCGTCTTCATTCCATTTTAGCGTCGCATATACACAGTGGTCCCTCTTCACAGGACCTGCATAATTTTAGTGTTCGTCCTGTTTGGTCACCAGGTCAAGTGCACCTGAAATTTATACAAGTTTATATACAATACCCGCGATGTTGTCACCATTCTCCTCGTCTGTACTATGCGCACTGAATTCCTGTCCAAATGTCCCATCTGCCTCCCTAGTCCAATGCCATTCAAAGTAAATTCTTTTGTGTACATTAGCAAGCATTCAACTCTGCCGATCGTTCAGAAAACTTGAGACAGGAACCTCAGTGCTTCCTAGGTCATCAGTCATAGGCCCTCGCACTATCTTCTACTAGGAGATTCACAATGCCTTTCAACTGAATTCCACGCTTCTGCAGGACGAGTAGGCAGTTCCCGCCAGACACATATAGCCTTACCCAATACCCTCTCACACAGCTCCGGCAGTGCGACACACCATTTTTTGTATTCTTCTCTGATCATGTTCGCATGAATCTATACCGGAGCGCCATGGCAACCCATCCACTGGATTTGACGGCTTTTGGCGTCTTACCAGATTCTGCCCTCCAGGGCCGAATTGAAACATCAACATTGACGTTCATGCTTAGTGTTCCTTTTCCACTTTTATCGATCAAACCACGCCCCCACGGGTTAAGCCAGTTGTCCTGGGTTAGTCACGTGTCCATCCTGATGTGTCACGATCAAGTGACCAGCGGTATGCTTAACAAACGACAACCGAACTCCTGGTCTAGAACTGGCAACAGGGTCAGAGATTTCCAGCAATGATTTGCCTCAAAAATTCAATAGTTCTGAATGTTCGAAACAGGCAATCGTGCCAAGCGCGATGGCGACGCTCCCTGCCACTCACAACACGCCATTTCGTCATGGGCGTCGCTGGCTTGCGATTGAGTGCCCTGCTGCATTGATGATGCAATACGGCCAGTGCTGGTCGCTTCACTCGGGAGGCATAAAGTCCGATATCGTCGACGGAAGGCAAACGCGTGCGTGGGGAACGATCCCACTATAAGCAAACACAGTTTCTGCGATGCAACAGGAGATGCTATCTTGGCAAAAGGCGGCACCATCACGGTGACTGCTATGGCACATTAGCAGTTGTGTGGGCATCAGTCAGCGACAAATTCCCCCGCAGTTGGCATCGCAAATTGACGTCTTCCATTTGTGTCCTGACTGCAACGCTTGCACACCACCAGCAGCAAGCAGCGCGACGCACGGTGGACCTGGGCGTTGCTCTGGAGGGGATAGAGGACGGGAGGATGCGCAGGAGGTGGCTTGATTCGATTCACGCTGCCCACCCACACTAGGAAAACAGGGTCAAATAACACGCGTTCAAAAGTGTACAAAAGTCACGGGTTTGGGTCATTTCCATGTTGTTAGCATGCAGAACACTGATGAAATGCATATATACGCGTTCGCAAAGCACTAGGAAAAAACAGGCCAGATGACACAGTCCTGACACGGTTTGATCAAAATCCAACTATGCACTTTCGGCAAATATGGTCCCAAAAGTACACAGTTAGTACACACATTGACACAGTTTCAACCGCGTACCTTCAAACAACTGTGTAGACTACACGGTTTCCTTGGATGCACGGTTAAAACTGTGTCAATGTGTGTATTAACTGTGTACTTTTGGGACCACATTTGCCGAAAGTACACACTTGGATTTTGAGCAAACCGTGTCAGGACTGTGTCATCTGGCCTGTTTTTTCCTAATGAAAAGCGTTATTTGCTCCTTTTCTTTGCTAGTGCTATCGGACAATCCATGTTGCGAGGCTGCTCAGTATCGGTCGCTTGGTGCGCCCTGACGCCAGCCCTCGACTAGAATCTCATCTCTGCGGCCAGAGCCGCAGAGGGCTGGGTGGGAGCAGCACCGACTTGCGTTGCGCTGCTGTATATATACAGTTGCTATATAGCAGCAGCGGTAGGAGAGCGTCGACTTTCAATGCAAATAGCAGTCGCAGCATTTCTGAATACCCACCTACGTAGCCACATTGGTGGGCACTCAGAATGCGTATTCTAGAATTACATGTGATATCTGCGACTCCGAGATTTTCAAACCTCAAAATTTAGCCATTTGAGCATGAGGCATGCTTTTCATGGTATGTCTTGAAGCCCAAACCCATTGTGAGATCGCCGCATATGGACATGGCCACCTCGCGCGAAAATGGCCTGAATGTTGATTCAGTATCATTGTTGGGACACGCGCACCAACGCACAGACCTGGTTGGCGTTGCTGACACGCGTCTCAGGGAAAAGTTGGTGTCACCGATTGCTCCAACTGGTATATCTCCCACAGATTCTCGGGGGGGGGCGTCGTCTGGTCTTCACGTTCGATTCAGCAAAACCAGCGCCAGGGTAGGGTCATTTGCCCAAATGTCAATATACCAAGTATCGCGTGATCCATTAAACTATCTGCATGCCTTCATCTGGCCGTTTCCTGAAAAGCCTTCCCGCTTTTGAGCAGTAAGTCTTCTTTCCGAACGTGGCTGGCATAGATTCCGCCACAGCCACTTCGGAGGGTAATAAACTAGCTAATCAGAACTACAATTGATGTGTCCTTGTCAGCTCTCTTTTAATTCCAACCCGCAATTCACGCTTTTTGGCGACGTTTTGCAGGTGCTCATGCGAATTTACCAAGTTGGTAAGAAGGGATGGGCAAATCAGTCGGACCAATTTGTGGTATTGCGCTACGAAAGCAGCCACAGCGCGTCAGTCGTGTCACATGACTCGTGTGCCACTCAACGATACAAGTACCAATATTTCTGCGAATGCTGGCAGTTATTGCATATCGATGTTCCTGGGGGTGGACTGAGCATATTTCACACATTTCTTAGTCGTGTGCACGAAATGTTCCTAATTCAGGGTTTGCCTCCCGAAACGACAGATACTTGTGTGAAGGGGAACGTAAAACCTCAACCGCGCTCTTGTTGTCACCTTTCGCCAGTGAGCGCGCCCATTGGCGGGGATAACCCGCGAGGGATCCCTGGCTGGCAGGCGTCTCTGTCCAGAACCCCGCGCATCTCAAAATCAGACGCGGCAGAGGTGAGAGGGTGAGGAGTGTTCTGACGTGGGCGGCGGCCCAGCAGCCCCGGGCGTCGTGTGCACGACGTCTTGTGCAGCACAGCGAAGCAAACCATTGTGCCAAGGTCGACGTGGAAATGGCTGCGCCGCTCAATGAGATATTGCCACGAAAGGCGCCGAGGTCGTCTGGCTCTGCGGGTCGCTGGCCCACCTCCAAAAGGCCGCGGCGGGGA